AGATCAAAGCGAAGGTGGTTGAGTGGTATCGTAAGGATTGAAACATATCTAATTGGTCCTGGGGGTAGGGGTGAAGTGCAATAGGGAAAGTGGTGCAAGAAGGGGGAGAAGTATAAAACGTGAAGTGAACAAGAGGGGGAAACCGTATGCGGGGGAAATTCTTCGATAGCCGGTTAATAATCGCTGTGGTTGGTGCTGTGCTGCTCGCCAACGAACAGAACTGAAAATCCCCAACCACAAGGACGGTGTCGTTGCTGTAAAACCGCCGGAAAAGGAAGGATTAACACCACAATCCTATAAATAAAAAGACCAAAACGCCTCCCTTTAACCTGTGCTCATTTTGCCGAAGACATCACCCGCAACATCGCCGTCGCAAAATCGTCCGTGATAATGAAATATATCGCTGGGAACCCATATGCGGTCCTCTCCAGATGCGTTTCCCGAGTAAACGTGGGAGCATCCAACCCTGGGTAAAATCCCACCAGATATGTCGAACCGAAGACGAAAAAAAATAAAAAATAAAAATAAAAATAAAAATAAATAAATTCAAAGAGAAAGAAGAAGAGGTATAAGAGGGGGGAAATATGATACATATCCCGCAACATCACCATAAAATCATGCACATAACGGAAATCTTGATAGTGTCAAGCAACAGAAGCAACAAGACTTTATAGAAAAGGTCATAGCGCTGATCGGTGAAAACTTTGCAAATAATGCAAGGACAAGGAAGACGATGATGAAAAACGCGGTCAATGTGAGGTGGAAATCCGAGGTTACGGAGGTGTGGAATAGAGGTGTATCATTGAATGCTGGTAGCCGTGGAAGGTAGGTGAATTAATAGCAATGAACTGGGTGGGTAGGTTCAGCTCAAATCTTAGACACTAAGACGTTGGTGCTCCCGTTAAGGCAGGTAGGTTATGACACAGGTGCGGACGCGGCAGCATTTGGCCGCGGTCCAGTTCCATTTTGACGATGATTTTCTGCATGGCCACCTCTATGCCCTTGGCCACGGCCTCCACGATAGGAACCACGACCTCTATGGGAGGGGTATTGGGAATGACCTTGCCTGCGACTGTGACCTTCTGGGTTGTTGGGATATTGTGCAGGTGCAGAGGCTTGCTGTTGCTGTTGCTGCTGCTGCTGCTTTGGCGGTTGGGTTGGTGTACTTGTAATTGGCCTGGGAATTGTGTCGGGTGTATCATAAACATATAGTTTCTTGTCGATGGACTGAGGGATAGGCTGAATTTCCGTACCCAGCTCCTGCTCAATCTTATAGAGATTATACCGGTCTTCCCAATTGATAAGATTGATAGCCAGGCCTAGATGTCCAAATCGACCCGAACGACCGATACGATGAAGGTACGTTTCAGCATTCTTAGGGAAGTCAAAGTTGATGACAACATTCACAGCTTGAATATCGATCCCACGCGTCAACAGGTCCGAGCAGACCAGGTTTCGGCAAACACCATTTCGGAAGTCGTGGAACACACGGTTTCGGTTATGTTGCAACATTTTAGCATGAGAATAGAAGCATGAATAGCCGAGTTCGGTGATTTTCTTCGCAAGTAGTTCGACACGGTTGGTAGAGTTGCAAAAAATGATGGATTGGTTGATTTGGAGTTTGGAGAAGAGAGTATTCAAGCAGTGGACTTTTTGCTTCTCCTCGACGAATGCATAATATTGGGTAATACCCCGAAGGGTGAGTTCATCCATGAGGTTGATCTCATAAGGATTCCTCATATGTTTGTCCTGTTGAAAAGAGTTAGATATCACGTAGTAGCAAGAAACCTGGGAAAATTAGGCGGGAAAGAATATGACCTTGAACGACTTGACAATCAATGGGAAGGTGGCACTGAAAAGCATAATTTGGCGATCTTTGGGGTGGAATGAGAGGAGCTGCTCAATGACTGGAGTGAATTCAGGCGATAGGAGCTTGTCGGCCTCGTCCATCACGAAAGTCGAACACTCTGACAAGTCTGCAACTCCTTTGCTGGCGAGGTCCAGAATTCTGCCGGGTGTGCCAACAATGATATGGACGGCTTCATTCAGCCGTATAATATCATCCTGGAGGCCAGTTCCTCCTGTTGTTACCATAACGTTGATACCAAGGTGCTTACCGAGAGTTTTGCAGACTTGGGAGGTTTGGAGGGCGAGTTCTCTAGTGGGGACGAGAATAAGGGCTTGCGTTTTGGAGTTTTTGGGGTTGGTTCGTTCTAGCGTCGGTATCACAAACGCCGCAGTCTTTCCTGTCCCATTTTTGGCGCGTGCGAGGATATCTCGTCCAGTGAGGGCAACTGGTATAGTTTCCTCTTGGATGGGAGAGGGTTTTTCGAAACCAGCCTCAAATATCCCCATCATCAATTCCCGTTTGATGTAGAAGTCCTCGAACTCCAGCCCTTTGGTTGCCGTGACATCCTACCAGGCACATCCTTTGTAAGTCTAAATTCTGGGGCCCCAATTATTGCAGCAAACCAATTTTTGAGTTCTATCTCACCTCAGTTTGAGTTCGCGTGTCTTTTGGGGGTGCTTTTAAATGTTCTTTCCATTTCTCTGAGTGGTTATTTTCTCTGTGAATTTGCGTTAGTAATGATGTGATATATCTCTAATGTATGTTATAAAGGGGTTTCCTACCCTAGCTTCGCGCTACTCAGCTGCGAAGCAAGCGCATCTGCCATGTTGAGTGAGCAGGCTCGAGAACAAAAAAGGTGGCACGATAAGGTGAATTTATTTTGCGGGGGGTTAAGGTAAGCGTGTACCCAGCTCAGAAGAGGATAGGTACCAATTTGCAACCAGGCCTACAGCCGTGCTGTGGCGTGGAGAGATGAATAGTTGGAGGACAGGCGAGGAGGCGGGTGGTGTGTGTCTAATTGAGTGTGCGTTTGTTTAATGGTGCAACCTCGCCGGTGAAGACTTCGTACGGAAACAAAGAAGGGTATTTTTTTTTTTAAAAAAAAAAAAAAAAAAAAAAAAAAAAATTAGAAAGTGAGAGAAAGAAATCACTAAGACGGAGAAGGACGATGTCTATATGGTGTAGTATTTTGGCGTTATCTCTGTAGGGATATTATCGTAGTTGAATTACGGCGGAAGTTGGTGGAGAGGAGGACAGAGCCTTCTAATGGAGCAAGGGTGGCTCGTGTCCAGATGGCTTATATAGTAGGCGAAGGGGATAGCACAAAAATAAGAAGTAGTCACGAAGAGAGAGGGGAGGTGTGGAGGTGTGGAGTGGTGGAGTGATATGGTATAGTTCAGTAGTATGAAGAAGTGTTTGGAGAAGAAGATCAGAGACGGAGGCAAAAGAATAACGAGTTTGAGAAGTTGAGGTTCAAATACGGAAGTCACGGGGTCAGAGGGTCACGGGGTTTGCTGCCAACATTCCACCATGGGCCGGCATCGGAAAAACCCACCGGAACAACCTTTGGTACCATGGATAAGGAGCCAATCTGTATACCCCCGATCACGTGCGGAGGTGGACGTCGCCCGGGGCAACGGCTAATCTCCTTGCACTGCCTTTGTATCTATCTATGGGGATTTGAACCTTTTCTCGCCTCTACCTGTAATTAAGTCCTAGCAAGTTAAAAGGAACACTTTAGAAGCCATTGGGTTTAGGGGGTTTAGTCAATCTGTCCACTGTCATACTCTTTGAAAATGTAATCAAGTGAAATAACATTCTCATCCTGCAGTATAAGTAGTGAAATTATGTATTTATATACTTATTATAAACTGTAATGACTGTGACTTATGATGGAAGCAATTGACTCTTTTGTTTATTCATGTAAATAGATAATATATTCACTTTTACAAATTTAAAATTTTGAAATTATATTATATAATCAAGTTGTCTTTTAATTAATATAATTTTCAAATAAGTAAAATATTCAAATAAATGAAATATCAAATCAATATATTTCAACTAATTAGATTTTAAATCAAATTATCTTAACATCACATCACTCAATTAAATTAAATTAAATTATACTAAGTTGAGAACATTTTATTTTTGTATGACTGAGAGTGCCACAATTGCTGCAGTGTTGTGAAGTTTATTGATATGATGTAAACTCAGATGACTAAGACTTATAAAATTAAATAACTATCTATTCAACAGATGCAGTAGATGAAATAATAAGATTCTGAGCTTCATTTCTAATTAAATCTTCTGTGTGTTGAATTTGATATCTAGATCTATTCTGCTTTTGCTTCTCTATCTCATTTACATTAAATATATTCTGATATTACTTCTTTATAATAGTGGCACTGATCATGCTATATTTATAAACTTTGATAATTTAATCAAGATCTTTCACTAAGCTCTGAGGTTAATCTTTCATAAACTGTTTAAAAACATTTTTACTTGCTGCTGCAACTGCTAGAGATTATCAGATATTTGAAAAACTTAGAATGATATACTAAATATGCTATTATTATTATTATTATTATTATTTAAGATATACTCAGTTGTAACTATGACATCTATCTAGTTAAAATTAGAATTTAACTATTTTACTAATTTAACTAATAAATAGTAATTAATTTATGTACTTATAAAGTTTTATTCTAGAATAATACAATATTTAACAATCTTTTAATAAAAGACATATTTATAGTTTTAATTTAATTCAGTCTCTTTTTCAACATAAATAAAACAAGTAACAAAACAGAATAAAATAAAATAAAATATAATAAAATAAAACAAAATAAATCTTAATGAAAGTATTCTTAAAAATATATATTAGATATATTAGATAATGATGTCAGAGTATAAGTTGAATATTCAGCTGCTGAATAACATAGTCAGACTGAAATGACACTATTCAGTAGTTTTGAAGTCATTCTGAATAATCTGATCTTTAAAAACTTCTATACAGACTGCAGAATAAGTATCTAAGAAATCAATTTTAAAAATAATATTAATTTCAAGTCATATTCACTGTTAAATTAGACTGCCATATACTCACTTTAAAACTGAAAAATTACTCATATCTAGAGACTGCAAAAGATGTAATAAATAAAAAGAAATGCAAAGACAGATAATTATATTATCCTTGCAGATTTAATCAAATTCCAGAGTAAGATAACTGCTGTGCTCATTTAGAATAAGAAAAATAGAATTGTCAATTCAACATGGCTTTACTTTTAGAATAAACATCTATGTAAATTATTTAAGATCTATTTCATCAGTAGTTCAATTATTAGGACTAACATCAAGCCTTCAGCCATTTAAAAGGCCTTTAAACCAGTCTTCCTGCAGATTCTGACCTTTGAGAATGATGTATGAAAATAGAGTCCATTGTGGCGTTCCGCCCCTATTCTTCCGCCCCTTACTATATTAGTATCCACTCTCTATTCGCCCCTCCCTAATCCACTCAGAGGCCCCAATCTTTCCTATATTTCCTATCCTATGCAATTGCTCCTACCATATAGAGTGATTATAGTGTGTATATATATAGCAGGGCATTTGCCCATCTTATTAGAAGAGAATCAGACCATGATTTATCCTACCTATTCGATTGCTTGTACGCATCACCATCCTGATGAATTAATTGACTGACTCAATTACAGTCACTAATTTCTGATTTCCAGGCTGTAGAAGCTTTGCCTGACTATAGCACTCACTACTAGTAATAACCTTAATAGTAGCACAGAGTTCTATTGCAAAGTCAGTCTCATTAACATTGTATATCTTCTCTAACAGAATTCCATACTTAGCAATTGCATCCTCCAAGATTTTAAACCAAGTCTAAATAATCTTTATATCCTCACATTTGGCCTGGTCATGATTATAGTATCTGGAGTGACAGGTCTGAAGCTCAGGACAATATGCTACTAGATTTGACACCCAGTTCTTGCCAACGCGGGGGGGGAAGGTGGTGGAGGTGATGGAAGTTTATTTAGTAAGAAGATAATTAGCTGTATCCTCAACAAATGCTGGCTGTGGGGGAAATCCTCATTTAGCTTGATCCAGCACTCATTCAACTAGCCTATTCTCTTCAGCCTGGGTTAATTTGATTGAATTTGCACATAGATTCATGCAAGCAGTCTGGCCATTGAGTTGATAACTTAGACTAGATAATGACACATCAAATTCATGTGCAGCTTTACAGATTGAGGAGATTTCTTGCTTTTTTAAAGCATTTATCACAAGTTCAAGCCTCCCCTCTCTCTCAAGAGAATTTGAAGTGTTTTAATTGCAAATTGATGGCATAATTGTGCATTGAGATGGATGAGGAGTTAAATGAGAAGATATTTTTGATTTGGGTGTTCCGCTTGCTTAGGTGTTCCGCTAGCTTGGGAATTACATTAACTAGTTAACTAACTAGTTAGTTAACTAGGTTAGTTAGGATAAAACATTCATAAGTTAACTACAGTCAGATATACAACAATCAACAAATCTGTACCCTCAGCTGAAACAGTCAATCTATATATACAGATCTGTATATACAGTACCTGAGGCAGTTTACAGAGTATTATGATGGGAGATATCTGCCTAGACAGCTAGTCAACCCATACATTAATCGAACAAATTTAAAAAGTACATTCAATGGTCCCTGGTGACCATCTCACAAATCAACACCTGCATGCAAGAATGGGATAAATAATATAAAAATAATATAAGAAAGAGATAAGAAGATGAAGAAATATATAAATTTAAAAGACGCTTATCAAAATACATCTTCAATACAAGGGATATCAGAGCAAAATCATCGCATATTCAGAAAAATTGAGGGATCAAGAGATTAGTTTCGTCCAAAGGGTAACGCCGTTTGCCCTCGTTCGGGTTCAGCAAGTCTAGATAGAAGTATGTTAGCACTAGACTAAAGATGTGGGCAGAATGTGTATGGTATGTGTTAAATATATATAAAGGGGGAAAAGATTACTCTTTGACTCTGACATCTGGCGCTGGTCGGATATCATGTCGTGCACCCGGTGTGATGAATATAAACTGCCGCCCAACAGAGCGCCTTGCCGCTATCATCTATTGTTTTTATAAAAGATGTCAGTACTGTTTTAGTGTACATGTACATGTACATGTACGGTCAAAACAAATCCAGCAACTTACCAGCATATCAATACTCATCTTACGGTTGATATGATCCATGTAAACATCACTAAGACGGTGAAGAAGAAACACGCAAAGATTAATTAACAATACCCTACAACTAGGGAGGATGCCATCATGCAAACTTACAACTCATCCAAGCAGCGGATCGGTGAACCCATAGCTTCCCACAGAGACAGCAAGAGGCATATCTGCGAGAACGATTTCTCGCCACCAGAGAGCGTCCTGGCACCTCTTCCCTTGGCACTTTCCTTGGTAATGTCTGGCTCGACGTGGATATCAAGTAACTTTTGGGTGTGATCAGAGAGGATTTGCCCACGGAAACTTCTCTCGCTCAGCAAATATGTAAATTGGAGTTTAGCTCGGGCCGTGATGAGAGATCGGAAGTTTTCCCAGCGTTTTCGTCGGTGCCTCAATGTGCTATTGAACCTCTATATGAAACTATCAGTGAATACGTCAGGAAAAGGACGGTTTGTAGTGAAGAGAAGAAAATCTTTACCCGGGTGAGTTCTTTAAGCTCGCCAACCTGCTGCCTTGCGCTCTCGTAATTTGCCTCTGCTTCAGCAGCCTCGGTTGCAATCTCTTCTCGGTTTCCCAAACTAGACGATGTTAGTGGACGCTGGAAGAAAATATGTTGTAAATGAGAGAAGAAAACGTACGTGTTATCGAATCGTTCAAGATCCTTCTTCAACCTCACAAGCTTCTTATCAAGGCTATTCGCCGTCTCCCCTTCAGGAACAGTCACACGCGGGGAAATCGTGGCTGCTTTAGCACTCCAATCAATAATAATATCACTAAGTTCCTTCCGCTTCGTTTCTAGCCGTATCTTATCCTGCTTCGCAAGGTCAAGACCATCAATAGCAATGTTTTTATCACTGAGTGCCTTCCTGCGCTTTTCCGCAAGGCTCAATTCTTCTTCCACGCGCTCCTGGAGCTTCGTCTTATACTTATCAATGTCCTGATTGATCAGCGCACATTCTTTCTTTTTATCATTGAACTTCTTGATCAAGGCGTCCATTGCGTTGACACTCTCCTCATACGAGCTCTCGCTAATGCGTTTCTCTGCTTCAGCGTCTTCGAGTGAGCTCTTAAGGGCATCTAGCCGGCCATCCTCGATGCTATCACTGTCAATTGCTTCTTGCAGTTCCTCAACCAGGTCGTCCGCTTTTTGAGACTCAAGGCGTAACTGCTGCTCGTGCCTTTTCTGTCTGACGAGTGCTTGTTTGCATTTTTCAACTTGGGTCTGAGCAAGTCGTTGTTGAGTTTCAAGTTCCTTGAGGTCCTGCTTCAGCATATTCACGGCTTCCTGCTGCAGCCTGTACAAAAAATGGGTGAGTAAACAGGGAGTCTAGGTTATGGTGTGAAAGAGAACGTACTTGATCTGAGACTCTATATCAGTCTTCATTCGAGGTCGACCTGCATATGCTTGGACTGGAGACTGAGTGGGCTCCCCTGTCCAGCTGTATGACAAATGGATCCCCCTTCGTCGATCTCTTTGGTCGATACAAAAACAACGCTTTACATTTCTCGGCTTTTCGCCATCAAAGAGTACTGTCGAAGCCTCTTCTAAGTTCTCAATGAGGAGAACTTGTTCAATGCCATGGTTTATAACCAACTGCCGCCGAACCAAGTCGCAGTCGATCTAACGTAAACTTTAGTAATGCCCCAGTGGAATGGGAAAACTTTATGGATGATGGTTTCCTACCTCCAAAATCCGTAAAATAGTATCAAAACGAAAATCAGGCTCATTAGGGGACGTGTCCATGTGCCCCGTATCATTTCCAATAAAGATGGGGCATTCACTGATGAAATTGAAAATTAATACCGCCATCAGAGTAAATACGATTGCTAGAAAAAGGCTGCCTCAGTACTTACCAACCCACGCGCTTCATGATGTTCGATAGAATGTTAGAATCAGTCTTGCTAGTCACTACAAACCCGCTCAAAGTTCCCCCCAATGAACTTTCAAGGACTCCCGACCATTTCGGTTTCAGAAGCCTTATATGATTCCCCAAGGGTCCAACGGGTTTTCTTGAAAACTTGTACTGTTCTTGTTCAATCGCTCTCAGCAGTAAGGGCATCTTTTCATGGAAACCGCCCTGCTGCTGACCTCTGTCTCGCGTGAAGCTACGGAGCCGACCTTCAGCTTGCTCTACATCTGACCTCTGCTTGTTAAGAGGTTCACGTTTTCCTTGTAGATCTTGCTCCGCTCTGGTGAGTTCATCTTGCAGGCGATCCAAGTCTCGCGCATGAGCATGGTGTCGATCACGGGCTTCTTCAGCTTCTGCCTTCTTCTGCTCAAGTTCCGCAATCCTCCTAGCGTGACTTCCACCATCCAAATCCTCAAGTCGCTGCTTTTCTTCATCTATTTTACTTTGTGTGTCTTTAATGGTTGACTCAGCAGCCTTCAAACACTCACGAATCGTGCGTTGTTGTGCCTGAAGAAAATATGATAAATTAATTATTCATCGAAGGACTATTATTGATATAGAACATGACTTACCTGGAGCTCATGGCGTTCTTTTACGGTCTCATCAAGCCTCTCATCTGCAGCCTTCCCACGGTCCTCTTGAGCTTTTAGTTCAGATTTTGCTTCTCTAACAGCTTCAAGTATAGCGTTATGCTCACGATCCGCTTCTTGGAAGACTTCGTCGGCTTCCGCAACCTCCGCTTCCAAATTTGCGATCTTTCGAGTTGCTTGCTCTATTTGGGCATCACATGAATGCCGTTGCTATTTCAAATTCCACATACTTTAGTACGAAGCAACTTAAAATGTTATTATAGATAATTTTCATTCTGATCGTTCTAACCTTTTCCTGTTCCTCAACTTGCACCCACGCCATCTGAGCTCGTAAGTTCCTGACCCTGGCACGTATAGTCTCATTCTTATCTGAGAGTGCAAGTTTCGCTCTAGTTTGATTCCTAGCAACTTCTAGCTCCTTGATCTGGTCAAGATGAATCGACAACTTCGCTTCGGTCTGGTCAATCGACTCTTCAAGAAGGCGATAGTCCTGATCGAGCTGCTCAAGTTGAACTCCCTTGAGGAAAAATTTGTACTTTTCTGATGGACTGGAGTTGCTCAGAAACTGTCGTGCCATGTCTTGAGAAAGGACATTCATGGGATTATCGATCTGTAGGGCGTAGTAGTCTGTGATTGAGTCGAGTTCGGATTTCTTCGTTGACACCACTCTACCATTCGAACTTTTGATTTTGAAACCGCTCGCTCCAGTTCGCGAAAAATGACGTTCGACTATGATCGAGTCTCCGAATTCGTTGGGGTTATATGCACTGTCACCCTTGTTCTTAATCCGAACCACAATAGTCGCTGAGCTACAAAAACGGTGATTTAGTTATACGCACAAACGATATCATACTTATAATCATGATCAACAGAAAGAAAACGCAAAGACATAAGAACATACTCCTTCCCCTCTTTAATAAAGCTCTTCAAACTCTGTCCCCGGTTCGTGACAGACGCCTTCCCACCCAAGCAAAGCGTAATAGCCGTGAGAATAGCACTCTTCCCACTCCCATTCTTGCCCACGATGAAATTAATCAGCGGACCCAGGTCAACTGAAAAGTGCTCGTGGCACATGAAATTGTAGCATTCCACCCGTTCAATAATGCCATGCTCAGCGGGGACATTTTCCATATCTCTGGAAAATTGTTCCCTGACGTATTGGCTGGCGCGTTGCTCGATGGCCTCTTCGTCACAGATGTATAGATCCAGATTGCCATCGTCAACGCGGTCCAGGTCAAGATCCTGTTTCGACTCCTGGTCTTCATCTCGTTCGGAGTCAGTGCGGTTTGGCGAAGAGGAATCGGTGGAGTCGTCATCGCTGTCTTCATGGACGGTTAGCACTTCTGAGGTGCGTGCTTTTTTTCTCTGTAAATTGACAGTTCATAAGCGTCTGTTTTTTTTTTTTTTTTTTTTTTTTTTTTTTTTTTTGAAAAAAAGTGCGATGCTGAAGGGGACTTATATGTTTTCTTACCGGGCCAAGCTGCGAGCCCAGAGGAGCACTGGACGAGGGGGGTTGGTTTGGCGGATGGAGATCCACTCGCGTCCTCTTGATAGGAGCCATGGAACTGTTTATCTCAGAAGCAGATGAAACTTGGAGGGCTCATGAAGGAAGAGTACGCTGCTGGAGGTATCCCCAAGCCGCTTCGCTAGGGAGCTATCCGAGCTGACGTCAGAGCACAGAGGAGGATGTCTTTCTTGATATCTTTGATCTTGTTCAATTTTGCCTGAATCGGGTCGCGTCGCGTGTGAAATTAGCGGCAGTGCATTTTAGGATCACGTGACGCAAACTGGCATCTTACCATTTTCAGAGACTTTGACAGGTTAAATATGCAGGGTCTATAGTGCGGTCACTGAACATACAACAGATACGAGTGGGAAGCTGGTTAAGGGAAATAAAGGAGCTGAGGCAAGTTTTATTTCACTGACAGCTGTGGATAAATATCATATGAATATCATTCTGGATATTAGTTGGATATCTAGCTGGGAACGGTGGAAGCTACTGGCATGCATCTTTGAACTTCACTCTCCCAGCAACGAGAGGTGGAATAACATTCACATCATCTCATCTCATCCCATCCCATATTAGCTGTCTCGGTGTATAACCCCATATACCCATCCATCACATAAGCCAACAATAAACAAGGGAGGAGGTCTGAAAGTACACATACACATAACAAGCCGAGTCCCAGTTGTACCAAAAACAAAGTACTATTTTCCTGCAACATTATAGGTATTCATCTACTCCTTAATAGGCTCCTCAGCAACGTAGTGTAGATACGCGCCCATCAGCTTAGTGCCCTCGATGTAATTGCGTTTGTCAAGTTTCTCGTTGGTGGAATGAGCCATATCCGTCGAGCTGCCCATGGGCAACAGGAGAACATTTTTTCCCGTAGCCTCCTCGAAGGTCAAAGTGATGGGAATACTGTTTTTGTTATTTCGAAACGTTAGAGAGACTTTTCAACTTTTCTGCGCTCATACATGTTTTGAAAGAGTTGGATATATATTCTGGAGTAAACATTGCATACCTTCCACCCTCCCTGGTAAAATCTGGCTCAACACCAAACACTTGCTTAACAGCTCTACTGGCCGCCTGGAAATTCCAGTGCTTGGGACTAGCAACCCACCACTTCCCATCATGCTGCAGCGTGCAGTCGACCGTATTCTTACTGTTCAACTTCGCAAACTCAGCCTTGACATAGTCGAACACCAGTTTATTCACATCCTCGCTCTCCATGTTGGGGACGGTGCGGATGGAGAACTTCCCAATGACTTTAGCGGGAATAACGGTTTTTGCACCGGGTGCTGAATACGCGCCCTCGATGCCGTGGATGGACAGGGATGGGTACCTCCACCGTCTCATCAGGGTTGGCTCTTTTTCTGAAAAGATCGACGTGGTGCTTCCGAGCGATTCATAGAGATTTTCCATTGAGAAGGCGATGTCCTTATACAAACCCTTTTCATCCTCAGTGAGTGGAGCAACCAGTTCATTTATGCCGGGGATGAGGATGTTGCCCTGCACATCCACCAGTTTGGAGAGGAGATTGACAAGATCGGTCATAGGTTCGTGGACCGATCCGCCAAAGACGCCACTGTGCAGATCCTGTGCCGGCCCAGAGACGGTGAGAGAGTAATAATTGCATCCCCGCAGACCGTAGGTGAGACACGGTTTCTCAGTGCCCAGCCAGTAGTTATCTGAAATGCAAACTGCATCCGCATCTTTGAAATATTTCTTGCTCTCCGCCTTGACGAACTCTTCCAGTCCCAGCGAACCGTACTCTTCCATGCCCTCAAAGCAGCAGAGCAAGTTGACGGGGAATTCAACGCCAGCCTTTTTATGGGCCTCGATGACGTTTAGCCAGCCCATGATGGGACCCTTGTCATCCGTGCTGCCGCGACCGAACATTCTCCCCTTGTCGTCAACTGTCAGCTTGAAGGGTTCCGTGTTCCAGCCATCCTCAAGAAGGGCGGGCTGGACATCGTAGTGTCCGTAGACGAGGATAGTGCGCTTGTTCTTGTCATTGCCGTAGCGAGCAAGGACCACAGGAGGCAGATCCAAATGCTCCCTTCCATGCTCCTTTCCAAGCGGTCGTAGTTCGACTTCAGCTCCCAGACGCCTGAGTTCTTCGGCAAGGAACTCTCCCATCTTATGGGTCTATAGTTAGAGTTGAAAACGCACAATCCTGCTTGACAATTGACAAGGTTGGACGCATTCAGCGTAAGAGATGCTACTCACTTTGACAACATCTTTCCTGTTGTCATCCTGGGCGGAGACTGATGGGATAGCAACAGCTTTTCGCAGGCCTACGGATATAAACGAGGCAATTAGAAAGTGTCGAGGAAATTATCTAGGCATAGCAAGCAAGGTGTAGTGAGGGGACTCAAAACTCGACATACGATCAAGGAAAGCGTCCTGGAGGATATCAACCCTGCGCAAGGTTTAAAAAAAAAAAAAAAAATTCAGCATGTCAACAGACTCAATAGGACACAGTAATGACAATACGATTATATATCAGCTATCTTCCTGCTACAAGACTTTCACTTACTCCTTGAAAAACGGTTCTAACTGAGGGGCCATCTTGGGATCGTCGATGTTTGCGTAAAAGGATCTTCTGTGGATTCTAATCACGGTCGAAGTAGATGGTGAAGGAGGTCGGATGGTTCTAGGAAGGGAGAGGGGGTAGAAAGATGAAGAGGGGTATGGTGAGGGGTATAAAGAGGAACGGGAGAAATATCTTCTTGAGAGGTTTGACGCGGGGAAACTGGACTGGAACTGGACTGCTGCACGACGGAGTCTTATGGGCGGGGGAAGCGATGCTGCGATGCGACTGATGGGCAAGGGCATTTGTTGTCTGCTGGGTGGGGGGGGGGGGGGGGGGGGGGGGGAAGAACCGAGAAGTACCTCTGGCAGTGAAATGTATGAGGGGTACCTAAGCAGTAGGTCTTTGCAAGGAAAACTCTCAGATAAAAATGCTGGGTAGATGCGGGCACGGCTTTGGAGACTAGGTCAACAACAAAGGACAGCAGTAAATGGAAAACCGGGGATGACGTTGCATCCTACTACTATGGATAATTACTATTATTTAGTTAATGCTTGTTTTAATGCTCGTTATGGACTAACCGAAATGTAAATTTTTCTATTTAAAAGTGTTTCTATATGTGGATTTTGAAATTCTGGTGTTTGATATAAATAGTTACTCTACAGGCCATAGGGGAAAACACGGGAAATCTACCTCCAACACAGAGGAAAATTTAAAAACGAAAAAAAAAAAAAAAATACTACAGTAAGTATGTTTACAATAATGATGCCATATCATATACTCCTCATCGTCATCGCCCTTAACTGCTGCCCCAGAAAGATGCTGGGATTGGGGCCGGAGAGCAGCGACGGCCGGAAACCGGGGATATTCCTCCGCCTCCGCCGGGTTCTATATCATCTCATCTTATGTCCTACAGAGGGTGTGATACACATGCCATCCCTCCCCCAGTAATAAATGAATAAAGGAGGTCAATTGGGGGAAATTCACCAGACAAAATGTATCTTTATCATTGATCCCTCGCCCACAACTCTTTCCGCAGTTGTCTGTCCTCCCTGGCAATGGTCCGCTTCTTCCCCCACCGGGACTTGATAGCTTCCAAAACTTGTTGCTGGATGGCCTTCTTCTGCGGACCCGCATTGCACACCTGCATGACGAAATGGGTACTGCATCCGAATCGCTTGGCCAGTTGGTACCTACTCCATTTCATCGGGTCCTCCAGTCGCAGCTGGCGCATCTCTGCGATCTCCTCGTGGTTCAGGATGTGTTTGGCCTGGTTTGCACGGCGCAGGACAAGGGGGAGTTGTTGTGGGTCTAGCTGACGCTGCTGATGGTGTTGCTTGTCTACGAAAGGTGACAAGGCGCGCAGTTTTCGTCGGACGTCGTCGGAGGGGAGGAATTTGGTTGGAGTGTGGTAGACGGAGGGGGCGCTAGAAGGGGGGTTGTAGATGATGTGGTCTGGGGAATTAGGAGGAGGCGGGCTGAATGAAGCGTCAGGCTTCACCCGTAGACGTTGTTTGAGTCGACGGAATGTTGATTGGTATCTCTGGCATACGAGGGTTGTGGTGGAGGCTTCTGTCCATGATGGAAGCAGGAATGGCAGCATCAGGGTATGGCGCCGCGAAGATATGATTGGGCAAGCCATAATGCGATATATGCCTAGGCGCATAGGCGTCTGTTGGTAGGATAAAAAAGGTAGAGGAGAGATATTATGAATTATGCTGGAAGGATGCGAGTGAGATCAACGGGATTGGCTTTCAGTTGAAGAGTCCTCGCGGGACAGGAAATCCTCGAGAGAACAATCAGCAGCAGCAGGACATGGCAGGATCCGCCTCTGAAGGGGAATTGAATGCCGCCAGAGGGAATTAAACGAGTGTAAGGGGCAGAGGCGCGGGAGACAACCCATAGAGGAGCATGTAAAAATTGTAAAAACGAGGATGTTTAAGTTCTAATACTTCATTCAACCAAAGAGCCACAAAAAGGAGACCAACGCTAGACTGTTATCGGCAAAGAGTCACGTGTATCGACTCGGAGGAATAGTTAGTCCGGTCGTAATATGAGAACAGCGATAATAACATACAACATCCATTTATTTGAGGATAGCATATTTATTTATGCTTTTGGATATATCTGTGAGAGTTCTAGATCTCTGGCGAATGCTTAAGTTTCGCAAGAAGATATTGCATCAAATAGCAGGACAGAGAAAATAACATGGCGTCATCTGTCTAAGAACGAATTTCAAAGGGCCATCACACAACAGAGTTAATTACAAGCTAATCAGCCGTTACCCTAACAATACCCGCTCATCCAAACTTGATCTTCACCAGCTCTCAACAAGCTTCATCTTCCCTTTATCTTTCATCTTCATCTAACGTCTAAAAACATCCTCATTCAACCCTTCAACATCTTCCAACATTAGCTCTTATTCCTCCTTCTCGTCTCTCCCGCTTGATAATTTCTCTTAACAGTGGCCCCTTCACCTTGAGGCTATCACAACAACCCCCTCCCATCTCAATCGTTTGGCTTCATAGATGTGGTCTTCCAATGCCATGCCATGCCATGCCATGCCATGCCGTGCCGGTTGAGTTCGACTGACTAGTTAGTTAGTTAGTTACAAGTTACAAGTTTCACTCGATTTATCTTGTTGTGTCACCAACCAAATATTACCCAAGCGCATTTTTCCAGGCCAACGTCCATTTCTTCCTCCGGTTCAGCCTGCGGAGTCCTTGCAACTACCTACTGCTACATACACACAAATATATACCCTTCTTCACCAGCATCTGCCTTGAACCAAAGTCACTGTCATCTATTAACTGCCTCTACATTTTCGGCATACCTCCTCTACTCTCGAACCTTCTCTACCTAACTGCTGGAAGTTGGCCAACAACGTGTTTGTTGGGAATTATATTCGTCATATTCAATATCTTCACTATTACTCTCCCGACCAGAGACATTATTTGCCCCCTTATCACCCTCTGCGCAGCTCTTAGGCCTTCTCCTATCCGGAGCCATAAACCCCCCTCGTACTTCTTGAATCAATCGCCATCCCATTCCCTCCAAAGTTCCATCTTCTATATAGGCTGCCATGGCTGATGTAAATGCCCCAACCGACCGGACCTTGTCAGATTCCTTCAAATCACCCTCTTCCGCCGTTAAAGAAGAGACGTCTGTATCGTTGTCATCCTTTCTATCGAGCCCAGATCAACAACCCATTCGGAACCTCCTTCCGAGAGAAGCCCAAGGCCCAGCTGCTGACACGACGACGAACAAAAAGGAAATGGAATGGAGGCTCAAACCAAAGAATCTCGAATCCAATGCAACTTCAGATAAATCCGAAGCGCATGGCCCATCCAACGTCCCAAATCCAATAACCACCATGAGACCAACTTCTCCTCTAAGCGCGCTCCCTTCCAACAGACCATCTGCATCTCCACACCGCTCCAGAAACCCTTACATATGTCCATCACCCAATCGCGCATTCCGCTCCGCTTCTCCCCGCATGCACTCGCCGGCCTCCTCCCAGATCTTCGAACGGAGTGTACAGGAAGATTTCGCCCCCGCCCAAGCCTCCCCATCCATCCCCTCGCACATCATGACAGAAAACCACATCCCTCCCATCCTTGGTGCCTCATCCGCCGCTCTAACTGACGAGCGCCTCGATCCAGACTCCGTCGAAATCGTCACCCACAACTTCCATCAGCCTGCCGCCCTTAGCGTTACGGGCGGTCAACCTGACCACTCAATATCATCTTCATGGCATGAAGATCTCAACCTACCATCCCATCCACCTCCAGATGTAGAAGATCACGTCTCAAACTACGGCAATTTAGACTCAGCCGACATACGACGCCTGAGTTTCGTATCTTTTGCCGACGTCGTCCATGGCGAACAACTCGAAACGGACCATGCGTCAAACAGAGATTCTATGTACATGGCAGGCTTTTCAACTAACCCCGCGTCCTTCGCAGCGGCTCAGAACCGCTCGCCATCCCCAGTACGGTCCCCAGTCTCGTCCCATGGTTTCAGTGCGTCACCATCAACAAGTGCGTCACCATCTACAAAAGAGCTGGACACTTCTCCCAACCAAGGAGGCCGGTTGCCTGGAAGCCCTCGCCTTTGTGCCCATAGCCCCCCTCCTGGCACCTTTGGTGGGGAATTGAATGTCGAAACCATGCGACAAGCCCTCCGACGGACTGGTTCCGGCGATATCGGTGGAGTTCGCAGTCAGCCAATGAGCGCTGTTGGAAATGATGATGGCACATTCGAGCGCCCCTTCAAATAGGCTCAAATCTGAAGCCGTCCGGCCAGGACTCTTGTGTATAATTTTTAATTTTATGTGTATTTCTTTATTTTCTACTTTCCTTTTGTTCCGCAATGAATTTCTTGTTTAACACGTCGACTTCAGCCAATGGAGGTAGATCGGAGTTCCTTTCAAGGTATCACTTTCGGGAAATTGTACCTTTTTCTTCTACATCCTCTACGTGATTTTTGGGGGATTATTTTTTCAAAGGTGCTCGTTGCTTTTTCTTAATATTTATTTGGCCTATTCCCTTCCTAATTCCAAATACTTCCTTCACTCTCTTTGATTTGAGATACGCGTTTTCCTCTTAGCTTCGCCATTTGCTTTTTATTCCTCTTGACCCCCTTTTGCTCAATATGTTGTGTTTCCATTTTCTAATTCCCAAGAGCAACACTAGTCAAATATTCGCAGCCTCGTATCATGAATTCCCACAAATTTGGAATCTGTTCAAGCTGACTGGCTAAATCGAACAGTGTCTGTTTGAGTTTAAGGATCTTTATTTTATTATTCACTTGTCCTTTCGACTTCATCCGTTTACGTCTCCATTTCAGAAAGTCCAAGTCCAATTTCTTGATAAAAGAGATTTGGGTTGAATGACAGAGTATATGTGTCTGATAATTGTTGAAATTATATTTCCCCTATTTACGGAGTCAAGTATTATTTTCATAGACGTCTTTGTTCGGGCACTGGGTTTCCTTTTTATTGTTTTATTTAACCACTTGACTGGTCAATATCTCTGGAACCAAGCTAGCCTTTTCCCATAAAAGAAGAAAAATTCCAAAGCTATCGTAGTCGCCCATAGGTTCATGATTTCATTACTTCCAAGTTGATTGATGATGTGAGCATGCCTCCCACCTTGTCCATAATAACCCCCAGTGCTACTTAAAAAGCCGAAAGCATGAGGATGGGCCAACTGTAATCTGATCCGATACCACCTCGAGTAGGATTCGAAAGGTCGGCGAGAGAGAAAACCGCCTCATCCGATAAGGCTCTAGCCACTGCGTAAGGACCAAGGATATAGATCGCCCTCGGGTCTCCCGATATCATCCATTACAATTTAACAACAAAAAAATACACAACGAAAGAAAAACATTTACACATCAATTTATAGTTTCTTTGATACCTTCGCTGCCGCTTCGAGGGCACGCTGAACTCTTCCCCTGAGATCTTCGGGGTCTTCGAGTCCGACACTCGTTCTTACTAGGTCTGTTGGGACGCCCAGGGAGTTGGCCTGGAGGGTAAAGAAACTATGTTAGTGACTTTAAATGGAGTGGCAACATTTTGTGGGATAGGGATGCGAAGTACTCACCCAATCTAGTTCGCCGTAATGGGCTAGGATCACATAGGGCGAACTTTGTGGAGTTCTTTGATTAGCAAATATATATGGTCATATATGTTTGTCTACTGTAGTTGTGGGAGGGAATACCTGAGGGTGAAGTTCGTTCCCAAGCTGGGGCCCTTCATGACTTCGAAGGCGTCGTAGAAGGCAACCGCCTCTTCATTCGAGTGGAAAGTTATGGAAAATAAGCCTCCATATCCTCCATTGGGGTTCTTGCATTTCTCGTAAAAGGGTCGTGTTGTGTTGTATTTTGGGTAATAAATGTCTTTGACTAGAGTGGTTTGATACAATTAACAACTGGAGGTGAAAAATTCATATTATTGTTTCCACAAATACTCACTCAAAGGAGATGTTTTTAATTGTGCAGTTATTTCCTCCGTGACTGCATTGATACGCTCAATTCGCGAAACGAAATCCCGACTGTTCCGCTCTAGGAATATGGCATCCTCGCCCCAGTAGTTATCCTCGTACTCCACGTCAAGCACAGTCTTCAGTTTCCGGTAATATTGCCCGTGAGGATTAAACACGGCACTACCACCCATAACATTGCTGTCTCCGCTGAATACCTTGGTCAAGCTGCTCACGACCACATCTGCATATGGAAGAACGTTAACGTTAATGAAGTTACCCACAGACTCATCCACAACCACCGCAAAGTTGTATTTGTTTGCCAGATTCCGAATGCGCTCGAGATCCGGAGCTTTTAAGAGTGGATTCCCGGGGAACTCCGTAAAGAGAGCTAGGAACCGCTCTCCAGCTTCCAACAGTTTCTCAAGATCTTCTAGCTCTTCTGAGGATGCATGGCCATAAAATTGAACACCAGGACCCCATTTTTGCAGGACCTTTAGCGTGTCGACATAAGGGAAGCCAAAACAAATACTCTTCATTGGTCCCCGGGCCGCCATCAACATGCGATGAGTGTTGAAAATAGAACTCATACCCGAAGGGAACAGGTACACATGTTCCTCCGTTAAACCTGCTATTCGCCCATCAGATGAAGCGGCCTGAAGGGCTTCACTAAGTTCGCCATTACATGTCAGGGAGCCAGCAATCCGCCTACGAACCGCCAGCTTAGCGTTATTGGCATGTGCCGTGCTCAAGTTGCGTCCAAAGCGCTCTTCGATAAACTCGTCAAACTCCTTTGACGAGGGAATTTTGGATTTTGGCGTTTGTGGCTGCTGAGGTGTTGAGTCTTTGTAAATGTTCCCTTGAGAACCGTTCCGTTGATACCGCCTAGGTCCCTTGTGAGGCCACTGGTCTGTGTGTGCGCTCCGTTGCTGGAGTTGACTCTCTTCAATTAAATACCCATCTTCTACGGCCTTTAGACAAAATTCACTCCGCCGGCTGGAGATGCCGTCGCCAGTGTGCTGCCACACCTGTTTCGCAACTCCACTATGTGCAGCCGGGTACAAAACGCAAAAGAGCGACGATGAAATACTTGGATGCAAAACGTCATTGCTAACCTCTGCTGGTTGAGGCCGTCGATGCAGGAGACCAACAACACGGACCTTTGGCGCCTCCTCAGCAGGTAATCGTGAAATCATAAACTGATAGCAGCGGTCTGCAGTTCTCCGAGAAGGAAACAATGTTGCAAACTCCTCTCCAGGAGTGCCAAAGCGGCGCACTACTTCCTCTACGAGTGCCTGGATGCTCTTGTGGATGAAAAATCGTGGATAGCCACTAGTCATGGCCTCGACAACCCATTTCTCTCCTTTCTCGTAGCCCACATTTGCTCTCCATGTCGGGAGAGAGACGCTCACAGCCTAGATTCTGTAATGTTAGCATTTGGAAAGAATATTTTGAGAGGATACTACTAAGAGCAGAGGATGAATTCTTTATCTAGTCCGTGTGACATTTTCTTTTTTCAACCAAGTGAGTATCTGAAGAGAAACGCAGAATAGTTCGGAGCTCATGTTGAAAGCCTATAAAACAATAAAGGGATAGACACATCCAACCCATTGGAAATGCATTTTCACTTAATTTTATCAAACATACATGGTCAGTCTCTGGAGGGACAGATCCTCCCACTTCCAGTTGCTTAAACATCCCAGCTATCCCTGTCTCCTGAAAGTGAGACAGACGATGAAAAAGACGTCCGAAGAACGAAATAACCTTCAGCTCAAGAGATGGTTCAATAGCAGATGAAGAGCATTATCGCAAGGCACCGTACACAATTCCCGAGTTAAGTTGTGCTGTTTGTTGTTATATGAGCGATAAGAGTAGGAGGAGAATAGACACAGCAGAGAAAGTAAGGAATGTTGCGGCGAGGGGCAAAAAGGTGGGAGACTTTTGCTGCAGGTGGCTATCCGTGGTATATTTTATGGGCAATACTCAATAAACCACCAAATTATGTCCTTTAAGAACTAGTTGAGTTCCTTAAAAAATAATCAAATGGTGTATATCAATATATTTTTCAAAATCAGATCAAAGTTTTCTTCTTTCTCCCGCTGCTTGCAACTCGCAAATTTCAACTTTGTCCCTCAACTTTGCAGTGTACTCGTAATACGGTATCGTTTCAATACCAATACCATTGTAAAATACAGTACGATACAACGCTTTCATTTCGAAGAGCAAAAAAATATCAACAAAAGTTGAAGCTTCAAATTCCAACCGCAAGCAAAACCCACCTGTGAATGGGCTCAGAATTAGGGGATATCGCAAACGATCACAACCAAGATTCTCCCCTAAAAATCCCGGTTTCTGGACTTCGGCCCTGTGACTTCTGACTATCCTCCTCTTTTTCAAAATCAAGTCTCTGTTTTTTGGCCTGTCATTCTCGATGTCGGAAGTCAGTGCAAAGCGAAGAAAACTAAGCACGGAAAATGGAGCTCAGCATGCGACCAGTAAAGGAGTCAAAGGCACGGAAAAACGATCGCGATCGGATGTGCCTACAGCCGAGCTTGCTGCAGCCAGTGGCGTGTTCAAATCCAATGTCTTCAAGTTGCAAGTGGACGAATTGCTCTCCCAACTGCGACCAGACCATGATAAGCTCCTTTCCCGTGTCGAAAAACCGCTGCGGAAACTGAAAAGCATTATTGAGAGAATCCCGAATATCCCTTCCAAACCTGTGTATGAGGCGGAGAGAGAACTGCGCAAACGATCGGGCATTGCAGTTCCGTTTCCAGACCCTCGTCCTGCGAAGGACACAAAATACACACTACAATACACCTCCCCGGTGAATATCAACGTCGTCGGGAGCTTTGTGATCAAGACGGAAATAAAGTCAAAGCTTACTACAATCGATCTGGCGGTTACAATTCCAAATTCCCTGTTCCAAAGGAAAGATTACCTCAACTATCGATATTTCCATAAACGCGCCTACTACATAGCTTGTATCGCAGCGGGCATCAAAGATGCCGGGGAACCGGATTTTAAGATAAGCTGGATCTACCAAGATGGCAATACGCTCCGTCCTGTTATTTTGCTGGAGCCCACTGAAAATGCTGATGAATCGTTCATTCGCTCTAAATCCTGCATCCGTATCCTCACCTCGATCGAAGATGCTGTTTTCCCGATGCCCCTTACGCTGCCCACCAGCAACAACATCCGAAAGGGCAACGCCGATCAGGATCAGCAAAGCAATTCCTCTCAAGCGGCTGTGGGCCACACTCCGACCCCAATTTACAATGCAACTCTCCGGTCCGAGGCGTCCGTTTCGGCTTTCTTGAAACTTCAATATGCCGCTAGTCTCAAGTGTGCTGCCTTCCGAGATGCATGTATCCTTGGACGAATTTGGCTTCAGCAAAGAGGTTTTGGAACATCCTTCGCACAAGGCGGCTTTGGCCATTTTGAGTGGGCTACACTTTTAGCCTTGCTTCTTGAGGGCGGCGGGCCCAATGGGAAACCACTGCTCTCCCCGAGTTACAGCAGCTATCAAGTGTTCAAAGCCACAATTCAGTTTCTTTCGGGCAAAAATCTTGTCCAGCCATTCATGTTACAGGCAGGTGATGTTTCCAAAATACCTGCTTCTGATGTGCCTGTTTTCTTTGATGGAAAACGGGGTTTGAATATTCTCTACAAAATGTCCTCATGGTCATACGCTCTACTACGCCACGAGTCTCATACAACATTAAAAATGCTCAACGACTACCTTCGTGATAATTTTAATGGCATTTTTATTTGGAAAGTTGACGATCCTCTCTGCAGATTTGATCATCTTATCTCAGTCTCTCCACAAACCGCCCTTTCTTCAACTCTTCACATCGTTAAATACCAATCGTCTATCTACCAAGTCCTTTCAAAAGCTTTGGGTAATAGAGCAAAACTCATCAACCTTTCCATTCCAGATACCCCTGCTTGGCCTATTGATTCAGGAGCTCTCCCTTCCGCCAAAGGAGATAGCTCCTCGGTCACCATAGCATTACTTCTTGATGCTGAACATTCAAACCGAATAGTCGACCATGGTCCTTCCGCCGAAGACAAAGAGGCATCTATTACCTTCCGAAGGTTTTGGGGTGACAAATCCGAACTTAGACGGTTTAAGGATGGAAGTATTATGGAAAGTTTGGTGTGGTCTGATCGTGCTTCGGATCCACCAATTGTCCAACAGATTGTATCCCATATCCTAAAGCTACATTTTGGCTTAGACGAAAGTCGCATTGCCCTTGCCAGCTACGGTCTCAACGCTGACTATTTTAACGGTGCCAGCGCATTGAACCCCACCGCTCCCTTTCAACAGTATATGGATGCGTTTGATTCCCTTGAAAAGTTACTTCAAGGCATGGACGGACTCCCGCTCACATTGCACCAGTTATCCGCAGCTAGCTCTCTATTGCGATACACATCAACCCAGGTCTCAAGTAGTGGCCTGACGCCACATAACCCTGCCGACATCATTCTCCAATTTGAGGGCTCGACGCGCTGGCCAGATGACCTGACAGCCATCCAGATGACAAAACTTGCATTTCTACTGAAGATTGCCGAACTTCTCAAGGAATCGAAAGAGTTCGCATCCTGCCGAATAGGCATAGAGAATGAAAGCAGAAAATTTCTTAACACCTCATTCCTTGACATTGTCCTCCCCAGTTCCATTCTATTCCGCCTTCGCATCTACCACGATAGAGAACAAACTCTGCTGGAACAACAGCTGAAAAGGAAAGACGTAGCAGGTCGTCAAAAGGAAGACCTAGCTTTTGCCCTCGCCACACACAGACGTAATTTCATCCAAGCACCCCGACACACTCAGACGATCCGAACTCTATCCACGCGCTATCCCCTCCTTTCCCCAACCATTCGTCTTGTGAAAAAATGGGCAAACTCTCATCTCCTAACTCCATACCTACGAGAGGAGCTCTTAGAACTAATTGTCTGCCACGTCTTCGTCCATCCATACCCTTGGGATCCCCCTTCCAGTATTTTAACTGGCTTTCTGCGAACCCTCCACTTCCTCTCCCGTTGGGACTGGCAACTAGAACCGCTGATAGTCGATCTAAATCAAGAATTGACTCCGCAACAACTGTCCGAGATCCAAAAGCGTTTCGACGCCTGGCGCAACATTGACCCGATGATGAACACCGTCGCCCTCTTTGCAGCATCAAACCTCGACCCTGATGGTGTCTCATGGACCCAATTTTCCAAGCCGCCACGAGTTGTTGCTGCGAGGTTATCTGCGTTAGCAAAATCAGCCATGAAGCTCGTCACGGAAAAGAGACTAGATTTGAAGGCGCCAGAACTCTTCCGATCACCCCTGGCGGATTATGATTTTGTACTCAGGTTGCATCCGAAGTATGTTTCTGGCTCCCATAATAAAAAGAAGAATCAGATGGTGTTTAAAAATGTTCAGGGACTGGGTCAGGGGGGGTTTGGTGACGATATGACCGGATTTAAACCTGCTGCGGTGTTTGCGGATGAGTTGAGCCATTTATACGGACACGTTATTATGCTTTTTCATGGGGATGACGAGGAAAGTGGTGGTGGTGTGATTGCTGGAGTTTGGAATCAGCAGACAACCAAACCAAGGCCTTGGGGTTTGAAGATTCGATATTCGATTGTACCGTCAAATGTTGAAGGGAGTGACGAAGATGGGACTGAGCTCATACCTAATAAGTCAGCGATTTTAAATGAGATTGCCGCGTTGGGTGGTGAGCTCGTTAAGAAAATTCAGGTTAATCGATAATAAATAGGATAAATATGGAAGTGGGAAGAAGTATGGAAATAAAATTTTAATTATCAGTCCGTAATATTTCCATTTCCTTTCCTTTCCTTTTCTTTCTTTTCTTTTTTATAAAATAATAGATACTCAAAGAATTAAAGGGAAAAATAAATCGTTAACCTAAACGCCGATGCTATGTAACTCCGCCTCGTCTGTCAAGAAGAAATGACGATACATTCACACATTCCTAACCGACCCGCAGGGATTGTATATATCTGCAGTTGGTTATCTAATAATCTATGGCTTCAACGGCCAATTATTTCCTCTTTCCACCAGCTGATCCAGCTCCATCCAGCATAGAAAAAGAACAAAACTTGTCTTTAATGGCGACAACCTCGTAGCTACCCTCATCAGATGTACGGATAGTCTTGGTATATTCATAGGAGATGTCATGTTTAGTATCGAGGATATGTGATTTCTTCCCTTTACGGTCGATCGAACTGCGGGTATATCTGCAATTAAAAAGAAAATATATCAGAATCAGTAAAAACCATTCATCCCAAATAACCCCATCAGCAGCACTAAGCAGGGGAAAGGAGGAACTTACGTGAACTCAAATGGCGGAGTCCCCCAAAACTCAAACACCATCTCAGCCTCGCCACCTTCATGTATCTCGACAACAGATACAGATCCACGGCTGACCCTAACACTAGGCATCTCATGGATAACCTTGGTAATATTCTTATGCGCCTTGCACTTCCCACTCGCCCCATCACTAACCGCCGTAATCGTAAATTCACCAGGCTTTTCTGCTATGCGACGGAAGCTAGTATTTGGCACATTGGCTTTCCTCTCCACACCATTAAATGTATAATATACCTCAAACGGAGCGTGGCCAGAGAGTGAGAAAGACAGGCGCTCTCCGACACAATAGTCCACCTTTGTCTCAAGTGGGATAATCGTTGGAATATCTGAGATTGTTACTCGCACAGACGAACCTTCGTATTCTGTCGTTCGCTGGCAACCACGGGCATCGCGGACCTTTAAGATGTTGACGACATGTTGGCCTAGATCGAGATATCGCCGTGGGATAGGCAGGCTATATCGGTTGGAGACTATGTTTGGTATGGACAGCACCTCCGGCTTGGATACGGAATGATGCTTGATTCCAATCTCCAGAGAAAACGGAGGTACTCCATCCAGGATTATGGGGATGGCTTCCTCCGAATTCCCTTCTTCCTTGCAGAATCCATAAATGTGGTTAGGCTGCCCAAAGCGCGCGGAGGGACGAGGATTGACCCGTTGCGTAATACTAAACGGCGCATGCTTCTTTTGATCGTAGTTGTAAAGATTGTCAACAAGTTCAACAACAGTGTAGGTATAGTCACCGGGTTTCGAGGTGTCCATTTGTAGAGAAGCAGAACCCAGCGCCGCTGTTATTGACTTATAGCTTGTAGCAATTGCACCAGTGAGGGGTCGAAGTTGTTTTTCGTATCTAAGAGTGTAAGGGGGGGTGCCATCGAGTTTGATTTCCATGAGATCTTCGTCACCCTCACAGACATCTCGTTTTTCAAACACTTCCTTGTCTTCTTCAACTGAAACACCATCGACAGCTATAATTCTTGGTCGAGAAATCCAAGTGATTTCAAATGTGTTTGCTCCACTATCAACAGTCCCAGGGCAGGAAGAATCACTAACCTCGATAATTTCATATCGGCCCCGTTGTGTGAATTGGACAAGGCTGTTTTCGTTCCACAGAGACTTTTCAATAACTGGCATCGAAGGATAATCAAGGTTCTGGAGCCTAACGGTCCAAGGCGGCACTCCTTCCAGCCTTAGCGGTACCTCAACATTCTTATCCTCCAAAGCAAGGATACTACGCTTCTTATCGATCTGGCCAAACGCAACTTGAGGTCTCTTGGGGCGAACATCAATTTTGATCTCTTCTTTCAATAGGCGCTTGCAATTTGATTTATCCTTGACGCTTGTCAAACCAAGAGTAAATTCACCCCCATCAAGATCTTCCGTGACAAGTGTCGCTACTTCATGCTCGCTTCGAAGCTCTAGTTTCATTCGTTTCCCGTTATGGACGAGCTCGTACTGCAGCAACCATGGAGCTTCTCCAACGAAGAGGACATCGACCGAAACAGGTTCACCGAAACAGGCTTTGCGACTGGTTACTGGTCCCAGGAAGTGCGCTGATGCTGGAGGTTTCACATCCTGCTCTAGAACTTGAACTTTGCCCTTCAGTGGCTGTGGTTCGTAAACGCGATCTGAGATGTCCAGAAATTCATATTTGTAATGGCCTGCTTCTGTTGGAGTAAAATCGATTTGGCTCCTTAACGAGTCAAGGGCTATGACACGCGTCTGAACCCCTGTTGCCTGTTCGATATCATATCGAATTCGGAACGGAGGAGTTCCAATTAAGTCCAGATCTACCAGAAGGCCAATTGAACTATTCGCACATTTGTCATAGAGTTTTTCGTAGCGCAAGTTGATGCTTGGCTCAGGCGGGTTATGAAGGAAACAAGACGCCGGCTCAAATATCTCGCCAGAACAAAATTGGCTGGAGATGGCTGTGAGGCTGTACCATCCAGGCTCCTGAATTTGGGGTTTGTGGTTGACACTTTGGAGAGTGACTTGCTGCAGAACGGGAGGAACAGAATCGTCACCCTTGGTTGCCTGGCTTGTGAAGGAGTATGTCAATATAAAAGGAGCTTCAGTTGCCTGGGTTCGCCCAACGGAATGGAAATGAACTGGTAGGTCTATGGACTGATCCTTTGCAACTTGGAGATATGATTGGGCATTGCATCTACTCAATGAAACGCGAGGGCGCTCATGAACCACAAATTGCTGAGTTTGAGGGGCAATTTTTGAAAGCAGGTCACCGTCTTCAGAAGCAGTAGAATAATTTGCGACATTTCCACAGGCATCGTGGACCTCTTCGATGGTATAAATCCATTCTCCACCAGTGCTGAGCGACTCGTTGAGCGGAACTTCAATTCTCTGAGCCTGTGCCCAGCTAATATCCGGGTTGCTTGGGTCGATCAGGGAATCGACACGGCCTTGGCCGATAAGAGGCGACCTGAAGTTTTCGGGCTGAATACTCTGGAAGGAGACGCCATGGTCGATCTTGTTGACCTTGCGGCTATATTTGATCTTCAGAGGCGGTGTCCCCTCAACCACCAACGTCAAGTTTGAAAGTTCACCCTTACACCGGTGGTCGGCGGAGGTTCGAATGAGAGCCTTCGGACAGGTGGCAACGAGGGTATCAAGTGAACGGCGCCTAACTTCAAGTTTTGAATCGTCCACAACCCTCAGGAGTTTGTAAATTCCGGTCTTTTTCACTGGAAGTTGCAAATCTCGGGGGGTGTATATATCTGAACTCGAGTGGCCCTTATTTGCTTGCTTTATCATATGCTTCAGCTGTTTAGGCGGAACTGAGATGGTCTCGTTCTGACCAGACTCAAGGTCAAATCGCAATAGCTCAATGGTTATAGGCGTTGTCTGATTGACACGGATCGGCAACATGACCTGTGTTTTCTCGCTGTCGATACAAAAGGAGGCGTGCTCAGGATTAAGCACCGCAGAACTATAAATTTTTGTTTGATCAGCACCCACAGATGATATTTTAGGAGAATACGAAGTAAACTCACCCTTCAGGAAGAATATGAATGATCTGTTTCCCCAGAATCAAAGACGAGTTATGGAGAATATCGGCAGGTTTGACTCTTGTCTCTGAGATGGAAAGTTCTCTGTCATATGCAAGCTTGAGTAGGGCAGCTATCCATGATTCTATAGGGATCTGCTTGAAAATCAGTAACCAATTTTCGATATTTAATTTTTGCCCCATCGGGCCTTATTAGTGTAAACCTACCGGTATGTGGAACATTAGAAAGGCATTGGCGACAACATGCACGATGAAGACGGCCAAGGTAGTCGAAAACGACCATTCTAGCCAGGGTATTCTCAGGGCAGGAAGGCCGAAGAGGAAGATGCCATCGATTGTAACCCATTTCAAGAAAAGCCAAGTTGAATCAAAATCTTCCGACGATGTCCAATATTCATACATGCGCCATGCATTCAAGGCCATATAAAATGCCACAACATATAGCCTCTGGGATGGCGCATCCACTATCCTGAAAGGGATAAGGGGCGCGTCTGAGTCCTCCCGATCTATCATCGAGGAAAATGGTTTCTCATTTCGAAGGCTCCGAAGGCGGACTTCGAGAGGAGTGCCGTTATGGCTGTTGTTGAGGGATCTATTCCGTAGAGGAGTACGGGGAGTCTGGGGGAACGACGATCGGAGTCGAGGAGTGCCAGTCATCGCATGCTTAGGGGGTTCTGATTATGGGAGAGGAGTTGCAAATGTACTGCACACGATGGCCGGCTTAGCATCGCAGGCCCATCCAAGCCTAAATGGAAAGGAAGAGGGTTATATTAGCACCGGGCATGCAGAGCCTATAGGTAGGTCTCGCCAACACTTGCACTATATGTACTGTAATGTACTTGCAATTCCCCTCAGAGCAGAGGTGTCTATATCCGGGTACGTCAGAATAACAGGCAAAGCCCTGCACAGAAGATCGCTGGCGCAAAAATTGTCGGTGTCGGATAGCTGCAACTCCGGAGCATATAAACTAGCGTAGGAGGGATATGGCAAACAACTCCGTCGTATCACTAGTTATTTATTTAATACGGCAAAGGAGAGGAAGAAAGTTTGTCAAAAACAAAAAAAAAAGAGCGCGCCAGAGGGCAGAGTCTTTTTTTTCCCCACCCCACCTGAGGAATAGAGCGAATAATCGAGCTCTGCGGGCTGGGAATGCTCGGTGAGAGTGAGTTGAGTTTGAGTGTTGTCCGTTTTCTTCTCCGGGCAAGAAGAATCTTTAGAAGGGGCTGATTGCCAAGCCCTTTCTGCCTCCTAATCAATATTCACCGCTTGAAACTCGTTGTAAGATAGGAACAACTACGTCATGACATTTCTTTCCTCTGATCAAATCATTCATTGAATTAGTGAAAGTGATTCTGGCAGGATATTTTGAAGTCTCATCTTGTTCTCATCCCAACTCCTGCATATCCTCAAACTCCGTTTCCCTTTCCAGATAGTTATCAATCGCTGTCAACTTCAAGTGCCTGTAGTTAACTAGCTTCCTATCTTCTTCTCCAATTCCGCTTCATCAAAAATCTGTTTGACCTGGGCTCATCCTTCTCAAATCTACATCCCCCCAGACCAGAATGACAGACCGAACAAAACGCCGGCGGCTTAATTCGCCAAAGTCTTTTGAGAGTTTACCCCTCCAGCCTTTGACCCCTTCTGATAAAGCCAACTGGCATGGCTTTTGCGAAATTGAATCAGAGCCGGTATGTCCGTATCATAAACCATACCCAGGTAGTTATCTATCCCATCCCCGTTTTCAAAGCTGACTTGGTAATTCCCCAGGCTCTGTTCAATGTCATGCTGCGAGATTTTGGTGTCAAAGGGGTTAAAGTCCAGGAGGTGGTGTCTCTGGATGACGAGATGCTAGAATTTCTTCAGTATGCTACGAGCTCCATCCCTGATTGTACTGCAATATATAAATAAATATCTGAGACTTCATTAACCCAACCACCCAACAGCAAACCAGTCTATGGGCTTATCTTTCTCTTTCGCTGGAAGGAAGATGATCCTGAGAAACAGGAGTCAAGCTGCCCTGAGGGCATTTGGTTTGCTAATCAAGTCTGATTCCCATCCCCATTCCCTTCCCTCCCCTTCAGTGAGAGCAAGCAAAGGATGAATATATTCTAATATTTACTCCTAGACATCTAACTATGCCTGCGCAAGTGTTGCTCTACTTAACATTATCAACAACGTCGACGGAATCGAACTCGGGGAGAAACTTCAGCATTTTAAGGACTTCACAATGCCTTTTACCCCTGCACTGCGTGGAGATGCAATCGGCAATTTCGAATTTGTCAAGCGTGTTCATAACTCGTTTGCGAGGTAATCTTCCCTTAAACGGCTATCATGACAAGCAGATTCTTCAGCTAACCTACCTGACTTTAGGAAAATGGATGTTCTCAGTACCGATATGCAGTTAAAGACCGAGGCAATGAAAAGAAAGTCCAGGGGAAAGAAATCAAAATCACAGGATATCGATGATACTGAGTCCGTCTTCCATTTCATCGGCTTCGTTCCAGCAAGGGGTAAACTGTGGAAATTTGATGGCTTAGAGCGCCAGCCGCAAAATCTAGGTAGATTATCTTTTTCATTCTCCCCCCCCCCCCAATATATATATATAAATATATGAAAAATCCCATATCTGTCTTACTACTCACTTAGTTTCTTTCTGCTAATTCTCTCTGTTCAAGGCGAATGCTCGGGCGACAAGTGGTTGGATCTAGCTAAGCCAGAAATCCTTTCAAGGATGGCGGAATACGAGGAAGATCAAATCGAATTTTCCATCTTGGGCCTTGTAAAGGACCCTCTAATCGACTTGAAAACACAGCTAGCGGAAAACATCAAGTGTATCTTCGCCATAGACAACCAGCTCTCTACACTGGGTCTATCTTCTCTGGATGATGCCACTGCAACCGCAGTCAAGGGTAACAACGCAAATGGTAACGGTAATCGCCATGATTCATTTATCAACATCACCCAGGAAGAGATGGAACGGGCAGGTTTTCCAGAGGATCTCAGAACCAAATATAAATCTGCAACACCAGAGGAGTTGACAAGTTATCGAGAAGAGCTCGTCAGCGCCCAAAAGGGAATTCGAATTTTGATCAGCGAGGAACAGCAATCGCAGCGAGCGGATGAAGACTACGCGGCAGCAAGAAGGCATGATTACGGGCCTGCTGTGCATACCTGGGTCCGTCTCCTTGCCCGCAAGAAGGTGATTCAAGGGCTGGTTAGTGAAATGCAAGCGTATTGATTTGATTAAGTGATGCCAACTACCTCCTTGATGGCGCCGGTTTTCCCTGCTGTAATTTATACCAATTTGTTTAGATCATGACCTTGTCTATCTTGTTTAACGCCATAGCAATGGATGTCTGATGTAATAATATTTGTCATTTTGTGGTATAGTTATGAATTTACCGACGGAGTAGTTCAAGAGATCCGTTGACTGGAGGTTGATAGCTCATTCTTCCACAGCATTTGAAATAACAACCAAAAACAAATATTGGAAACTGCTAAAGAATTAAATGAATAATAACAGAACTTGATTAACCGGCAGATTAACTCCACTAACCCCAAATATATAATACCCTCATCGTCGTCTCGTGAATGAAATGTAGCGTAATTATTTAGCATTTAATTCACTCAACGGATGCTGAAGTAAATCTCCAAAGTGCGTCTTGCCGATCTCACCAATCTAACTAATTAAAGCCACACGCGAACGCCTCACACGAATCTCCGCTATGATCAACTATCATCACAACAACCGTTACACAGTAGGTCTCCTCTAGAATAAACAGAATTGAAAATGTCAGCCAAATCAGACGATCCCGAGCTGAAGCTGGAGGTGGATCTAATGACACTCGACTACATCCTGTGCAAAGCCATCCGGGCAATAGTAGAGGATCGAATATCACAGAGAAACGGCCAACAGCCACTCTCAAAGCACATTGATAGAAAGGGGGAAAGTATTCTTGGAATATTTGATGGTGAGTAACTTCGTAGTTTGATTTGTTTTCGACCAGATATATTCAACACAGTCCAAACCTGACATGCTGAACATTCGGTTTTTACTACAGCATTCATGCAATTATTTCGCTACAATCACCCCAATAAAATTAATGACAATGATGCATACAATCTCCCGAGAGATTTAAAGATCAAACTCCGGATCCTCACGGTTACAAATCTCCTCTGTCGACGGTACAGAGCCAGCTCCAACCCCAGTGTGTTTCTGCCCTCCGAAGAAACACTACGTGCTCACAGAGAGTGCAACAAAGCACGCGCAGAGCGCTGGCTAGATCGAAATAGAGACCGCAGAATTAGTTGCGGAACTGCAAAGGAGCCAACGCCTCCTGATAAGTCGTTTCTAGAGCGAAATCGCCGAGATATGTCCTTACATATAGGTATCTCTCATCATCACGACAAGACACCGCCCGTTGGTCCAACCGTCACTCTACTTGATATTCTACCGGAGTGCATGGATCTTTGTAGAATGGTTTTTTATGACATCCCAGACAAAAGCTGGATGGAATTACTGGTTCAATTCATGCTGCATGCGGCCATCGAGGAGTTTCTGATACGGGGAAAACCCATCGCGGAAGCTGCTAACGAGGCTTTCGCGTGGAATTATCCCGACGACGTCGAGGTTGAAGAAGCCAATGGTGATCAGGACGATAAAACGCACGCTGCTGATAATATCTCTCAATGGGAAACAATGAGGGATTCGGCTAAGGAATCTTTTTTTGATACTAGGGGTGTACAAGATTGGGAATCACGGATCGGGGGAATCCTCGATAAGTATCCTTTCATACTGTTCGAGGAACGCATCCTGAAGTGGCTGATACAATTGTTAGAGTTGCAGGATTCATCTATTCTCATGCAGCTGGAGGAGGGTAAACTAGAAGGGCTTACGGTGGAAGAAACGGAGGAATTCATGAATAAGGTTGGTGTTCGATAGACAAATGAAACAGCCGGCAAAATTACAAAGTGAAAATACGGAGGAAGGGAAAACAAGAGAAAGATGACATGCAGGGAAAACTTTTAATTGCATATTGGCCGATACCAATCAATTAATCGCCAAATTTTGGTCCCGAGAAAAGCTATTTACACAAATATGCCCGGCACCACCACCAACAGCGCCCAGGCCCCCTTTAATCATCTGGATATTCGTCTCGAATATTACTAACGAATACTCGCGATTGCGCATCCCACCTCTTGAAGTGCTTGCCGCCCAGCTTCAAAAATGAAGGCGGTAGTTGAGATATTTCCGGGGCGATCGGTTCGATATTTTCTTCCGCAACGTATCTCACGCTTTTGTCGGATACTCTAGAAAGCAAAGAACACGTGAGCAACTTCCTGCAATCCTCAATGATGGGTATAGTTTTGGAACGGGACGGGGGATGTACAAAACATGGTAAAAACTTTGATGTTTACCGGCACGTAACCGATCGATGCCCATCTGCTGCATCCACTGCTCACCAGCTCCGCATTCGGCATCCCATCCAGTTATGACAGCGATATAGTCATATCGACGATGCCGGAATACCTGCCCTATTTTGTATTTTACATTCTTATGCTCCGATGTGCGTCTCCGGACCTGTTTGGGGATGTCATCACCCGCCCGCAAGACCCGAACACTTTCTCGAAGCGGGCCATACTCTGGCAGATGCTCAAAGAGTGGCACCAAATACTGCTCTATCAGGAAAACATCAGATTGGAAATCGGAAGCAATACTATCCATCAGCGATTGCAGATGGCGTCTTAGCACAAAATTCACACCCTCTTGTCGAGGGAATATGCCCGGTAATTCCCCGCCTTGGTTGGCATATCCAGCGAAAAGTATCGAGGACCAAAGCGCGGCATATTTCACGTGAACTGGATCAACGCAGGCATCCCTCACACGAGCAATCTGGAAAACGGAGTTGAGAATATTCTTGCCGCAGCGAAGAACTATCTCCTGCACAAGTGCTTCGCGTAAGAAGCTCGACCGCGATGTACTCAAGGCTCCCAAGAAGTTCAGTTGTTGCTGTAACTCAGTTACCCGTGTTTCTTCTATTGAGCGAAACGGATCCATGTACATTGGATCGCCAGGCTGGCTGATATCATCAAGCCGGGCGCCATCCATATCGTACCCTTCCGCGGGGTGAATTATCACATGTACATGGAAGGGAAATCCGCAGGGATGGGCATCAAGGCCAACTTGCCGTGCAACATAGCAGTATATAGCTGAAGAAATGAGAGGGAGAGAATTATGACCTGGATTCCTTAATGCAAGCCCCAGAAAGTTGTGCTCGATGTTGTAGTATTCCCGGTCAGGGTCGATCCCCGTTAGATCATGCGCTCGTAGAAACATGGCTATCCTTCTGGCTCTATTTCGAGGGCTCAGATCCATGATGTGTGGGCATTCCATCATCAATTGCGTCACAATCTTATCGAGGCAAGCTGATATCTACAAGGAACAATAGCATAAGTAACAATAGTGTGATGGAAACGTAAAATGTGCAATATCAAACGTACATCATTAAAATCACCCGGGCCTGTTTCCAAAACGAACATATCGAAAGCACCCAATGCACGTTCCAATGAGATGTCTTCGCTATTTCTCAATCTGTTCCATACCGGAATCGCCATTGTCCGATGGAGGCAGCTGAGGATGGCATTGCTGTAGTATCTAGAGATAACCCCGAGTCAGTGTACACGCCACCCAATGGCATATCTTTTTTTTCTTTTTCTTTCTTTTTTGTAAGAGAGAGAAGCAATAGAGAGACACTCACCGTCTCGCCAGATGATCCTCCCACTCCTCCCCCGCACTTGCATGCCGCAACAGCGTATCCTTCGCATCATACCCAAACTCCACAATCCGATGAATCTTCTCAATTCTCCCGGTCTGGCTCGTAAGAATGCTATTCAACACCTGCGTTGTGTCGACATCAATCTGCCGCCGAAGAACATAGAGTCCCTTCCAGTCCACAGACGAGGCGGGGTCCGTGAGTTTTTGCGATAGTTCATGGCGCTGGTCCCAGAATTTGAAATCATTCTGGCAATGTAGGCGCCAGAGGAGAGGGGAGTTCGTCACTCTCTTAAATCTCCGGGAAGTTCGTTCAAGGGTTAGTGCTGTGTTTGCCGTTGCGTAGCATAGGATGCAGTGCAGGACCTCGTCGGGGAGGCCATCCAAGGTTGGCTTTGCTGTTGTCATAATTAAAGTGATTATGTCTGGCTCTTAAAAATATGGAATAATAATATATCAGCTAGGGCCGCAAACAAGAAGAAGATAAAGACGAAGAAGAAGCAAAAGTGGAAGAGAATTGGTGTTGAATGAGGGGTCCATCGTTGTTCTGCGGATAAGATACGGTTGGTCGCTTTTGTGATGTGTGAACAAGGCCAACTCCGCAGTTTCTCGAGGTGGAGCTTAAGGTCAGCGGCAAATCCATGGATCGATTCTTATGTTAGAACAGTATCATAGATGGGCACTCGACTAACATAAATATATGTTAATACAAATTAATTTAATAGGCCGTTAATATATACATGACTCGTTTGTATACATGATGTGGTTTAGTAACTCTCAGTCCCCATCGTCTCGGTCGAAAGCATGTCAAAACAAAATATTATATATATACACAGGAAGAAATAACACCTCACACCAGCATGCCGTAGCTCAATTCCAATGATCTGGGGTTTCAATTATTGCAATTAAGCTCGGAAACCCTACCCAGTGCTACATGGTCACAAATTGAGGGGACACCAATATTAACTGTATTAGTGTAGCTCGGCGGAAGACACATGGCAGAATCTCCTTTGACTTGTCTCTCCCGTTGAATAAGGAAGATGAAATTCCTCCTTGGACTATATATCTCATCATCGTAATCATGAGGCGGAAGGTATTCGGTAATCAAAATAAACGAGGACGACGTCAATGCGGCCTACATCACAGAACAGGTATCATAAGAATCGCCGTAAAGATCAATAGTCGCTGCCCTCTCGTTTTCCTTTTGTTTCGCTTTTGTTTCCTTGGGAAAAGATGAGGCAAGGAATGCAAGGAGATCCATGTCCAGATTTGCTATATCAACGAATCAGCTATCCTGTCACGATAAAATAGGCCAACAGCAAAACAAAAACTGAAATGCCTTTAAAAAAAAAATTAAAAAAAGAAGGATTTAATTACCTCCCGTTGCTTCCATTACGACACCCTGTCGACAGAGAGCACATTGGTTTTGTTTGTCCCTTTGCATAACTACCAAGCACCGTATGCAGAAAACATGGTTACACCGCAGTCGAACCGGTTTAAAAGAAACGTCAAGGCATATGGGGCACAAGTAATCGTCCAGTTGTGGTATGACAGTGAGAACCTCTTCCGATATAGTATAACAGACAGCTTTGGCCATGGTTCCTGCCAAAAATGTTTCAGTTGCCATGAGCTGCGGGAACACGGTGCGAGCACGGAGAGCCGTGCGCTTGTCAAATTTCTTCAAGATCTTGGTAACGGCAATGCGATTGATCTCCTGGAATTTTAGGTTCTGCAACAGCACACTGTTGATCCACAAGAACGTCTCAAGCGCAACACGCCCCTCCTTTCCAAGCTTTTTGGTCCGCCGGTCTTGTTTTAATGTTGCTTGGAATTTTTCCAACTGCTGGCTTGCGGTTTGAGCATCTCTCTGGCCAGAACCCTGTTCATCAGTGCAGAAAAACACCTGCATATCTATATACACTCTGAATATTTCCCGCCATGTATATAAAGCAGAGTGTGACTTCTTGAATTGAGGTTTTGTCACCTTGACAATCTCATTATGCAATTCTTGGACCCGCGCGTTAAGCGCGATTTGCTCTTTTTCTTGGAGATCGTTCAAACCAGAGAGCTCCCTGTTCAGAATCTGGAAAAATTCGGAATCAGAAGAGAGGGGTATTTCAACAAGGAGTGTAGTTTCGATGTTATCATGGGGCATGAGGGAATTTCCAGTGACAGGGCGTGATTCTCCGACAGGAACCAGGTTTCGACAGTCACCATTAATGCCCAATCCCGATTCCGCCTTTAGTCCAGATAAACTAGCTGTAGTTATCGGAAGAGGAAGTTCATTCAGTTGCTGAAGGAATTCGAGTGTCCTTGGTGAAACGAAGGCATCAATTGGGGAACCATCGGAGGGGTCGATAACGAATGTCAACTTCGGCAGCCAAAATGACGTTGAAGGATTTTCTGTAGAAAATTAGTAACCGTATTGTAAGGAACAAGGTCTATCTTGATCCCAAAACTTACTTCTCAGAGAATACTGAAAACCAGACGAACGATTGTCCTCACCCACATCAGCGTCCACGGAATCCGAGAGTTGGTCCTGACTCTGACGCCATAGAAGATTCAGGATTTCGGGATGAAGTCCGAGGGACAACAGCTCCTTGCGCACCTTTTTGATGCACTTTTTAAGCTGTCTATAGGAGATCGCGGACTGAACCCATTGGGAAGGATATTCCTCAGCCCTAAGGCTCTGGGTATAGTCATGCGCAAACTTCATAGTGGGAGAAGCTGCCCGGAAACAGAGAGGAATACAGGAATACAGTTGTTCACCGAGAAGGATGCAAATCGAAACGATTGTTTCCCCAATAGATACCAATTTGCTAGAAAACTGCTGTGCTCAAGGGTCTCGCATTTCAGAGGCGTGGAGGATAGGAGCGCGGTCCGATACTTCGGAGAAGACGTGGGATTGGCGGGACCAGGCACAAAGCAAATTCCATTGCAGATGCTGGAGGATGCTAACTGGGCAACGACTTCAGATGGGATTTCAATTAGGCAGAGGGTAGAGGGTGTGTATGGTTGTATGGGAAGTAGGTGGCAGATGTTGCATCTACACGGGCAAAGAAGTTTGAGATCAAAGTTGACTGTGGCGGTTGTGCGACCCAAAAGGTTCCTGTTGCTCCCGTAAATTTACCCCTTGTAACGGTTTCGTGGTGACCACACCCCGCAAAACTCAGATAGAATACTGTATCTATACAAACAGTATTAGTATGACCCCGCGCCACAGGCCATGACTAATCCGAGCGGGAACTGTTAGTGACTTTCGCAGCGCAAAGTCATTGCCAAAACACTCCGCCAATCTTGAATATCCAAGTCTATCTACGGAGTACCTCAAATCCCATTATTTCCCGCACCACGACGCCAGGGCCATCAAGACTGGGAGGTCATGGGCCAGAGCCAGTCTTCCGCCGCTGGAGGTAACAATAGAACCCCTGCTGCCGACAATGATCAGACTAAATCTGACTACTATGAGCTGCTTGGGTTGGACAGAACAGCTACAGAAGAAGAGTGCGCCTCACCCTCCACCCCTGATTCAGTCCTTCTCTACCTTGTCCTTTTTAGCTGCTGAAACCAAAGCAGTGTATAATGATGAGGTTTATCTTTACTTTTATTGTTTAGTTTTATTTTTTCCCGGAATACTAATATATATATTCATTTTTCCATTCAATAGGATCAAGAAAGCCTACAAGAAAAAGGCTCTCGAATACCACCCGGACAGGAACTATGGCAATGTCGAGGCTTCCACTGCCATCTTTGCGAAGATCCAGGCCGCCTACGAGGTCCTCTCAGACCCCCAGGAGCGTGCTTGGTACGATTCCCATCGAGAAGCGATCCTATCCGGCCACGATACCCGGGGCGATGCGCAATATTCCCACAATACCAAGATGACCACCGCTGACGATATCACGCATCTCATCATGAAATTCAACCCCCGTATGGAGTTTTCAGATGCTCCATCTGGGTTTTTTGGTGGGCTGCGGGAAACTTTTGAACAGTTAGCCCGAGAGGAAGAACTAACATGTCAATGGGACGGTTTGGACCCTGTTTATTACCCCTCATTTGGCCACAAAGATGACGACTACGACAGCATTCGTCTGTTTTATTTGATATGGAGTGGATTCGCGACAAAAAAGTCTTTCTCCTGGAAAGATGTCTATCGCTACTCCGAAGCGCCGGATAGAAGGATCCGCAGACTGATGGAGAAGGAAAATAAACGATTGAGAGACGAGGCGATTCGAGAATTCAACGACGCTGTCAGGTCTCTTGTTGCATTCGTCAAAAAACGCGACCCGCGTTTCAAAGCCACCGTGCAAAACGAAGCTGAGCGGCAAAAATCTCTCAGGGATGCTGCAGCGGCCCAGGCAGCGCGCTCTCGTGCGGCAAATGAAGCCAAGCTACAAACCCACCAGGTGCCAGAATGGGCACAGAGCGAAGGGCTGGACGAAGAAATTTTCAGCAGTAGTGAATCCGAAATTGAAGAGGAATTTTTCGAGTGTGTCGTCTGTCGCAAGATTTTTAAGAGCGAGAAACAATTTGATGCGCATGAACGGAGTAAAAAGCACATCAAGGCCGTTAAGCAGCTTAAGAGGGAGATGAGGACGGAGGACAAACATATTCAGCAGTTGGGCATCAACCAGGGAACCAGCACCACCACTTCAATGGGGGATAATAGCACCCCCACCAAGGCCCCTCAAGAAAACTACGAATCACCTTTCGATGAGCCAGAAATTATGGATAAGTTATCATCTCAAGATTTAGACGAACGGACAGACCGTCGCAGTATCTCCAACTCAGAGATAAATGAAGCTAAGACCGAAATCCAAACGCAGGAAGCAGACGAAGCAGGGGACGCCACGAGCAATACAGACGAAGACTACGCACCGCGGGAGGTTCTTGAAAAACGCATCACCACGGACATGACGATGGTGACAACGTCTAGTGTCGTGGATGACTTGAACGAAAACATGTCCAAGGCCTCCACTTTAGCAGAGACCAGCGATGATAAAAATGGCAATTCAACAGCGCCAAAATTAGGGAAAGCGAAACAAAAACGCGCAAAACGGGCTGCGCAGGCCGCAACAGAAGAACAGAAGGACGGTAATGGCAAAACATTTACGTGTGCGACATGTCAGAGCTCCTTTCCTTCCAACTCCAAATTATTTAGTCATATAAAAGCGTTGAATCATGCACAGCCTGTTCCAAGATCTACTAAACAGTTCGCTCCCAAGGTTGCAAAGAAGGGAACCAAGCGTTGAGTTGAGTCTATATTGTCTAGAAACAGATCATTGAATTTTTTGCGCCGTTTTTTGATGCATAGCGTGAGGCGTTTGGTGTTGTGTTCATGGATAAAACATTTTTCCTATACGATATTTTCGGTTTTAACATGCATCATTTAACATTGTTAGGTAACGTAATCCACCACCCAACGCCCGTTTACACCCAACGCCCGCCATTTCGCCATCACTATGATGAAATATTTTCAACGTTATTTCAACAACGCAATTAGATTTTAAGATGATATATTATAGGATGAAAATATATATAGAAAATTACATATAAAAACATGAAATCTTGGGTGGAGGCAGATTCAGCGAGCAAGCAGTCATTAAACCAGTAGAGATTGCAATATCGTCATATCCCTCTGGCAGTGGATCCGTGGGCACCCTGGCAGGGCTCTGAAAACGCGATTTAGCCACTCTTTGCGAAATCAAGGGTCTACTTTCCCGATTAGTAAGGTGATTTTTGAATTCTTCAATCATCTTCTTATTCAATCATGATTGTAGCCGTACGGCAGCTCGTTCTTCCTTTTCTTTTTGCTCCTGAGCCTTTTTCTCATCTCTAAGTTCCTTGTCAATCTGCCGTTGAGCAGCTCTTGCGGCCTTATCCATTTCCTTTTGCTGTTTTGTGGCCTGGCGAGCTGCCTCCCGCTCCATCCTCTGCTGGATGATATCTGCCTCCTTCTGTTCCTTAAGAATAGTGCGTTGCAGCTTTGCATCCTCCTTACGAGCTTGCTCATCCCTTTTGGCAACCTCTGAGGCCGCCAAATTCTCGCGGATGCTCTGCACCTTTGCCAGCGAGAAGAACTGCGCCAATGATGGATTCAAGGGATCTAGCAACCCCATTGCCCTGCCACGCTTGCGACATCTCCTCTCTTGATTAAGAGCTTTTTGAAGCTGCCGATTCTCTATTAAAAGAACCTCTTTATCAAGAGCAAGATTTTCCCCTGCACGGATCACCCGGTTGAGATCATTAGATATTTGATGCTGCTGTTGCTTGACTTGCTTCACCAATTTCCGCAGGCCAACAATAGAAGTAGGTGTTCTTGGTTGATATCTGGCGTCGGGGGGGGGGGGGTGCAAGGTCGTATTTGAAGCTTTTTAAGAATGTGTTCCGGATTGAATGGATGTAGGCCAGTAGCAGCAAATGCAGCTTCAATATTTGAAGATGTAACTGCCTCCTTCCACGCAGTGTCAAAAAGCTGCCAAAAAGACCTCTTTGTAGTGCGTATGAATCCCATTCCAGTTCTCATTCGTTCATTCAGTTGTTTGGAATATGATTTACCCAATGGTCCAAATATCCCAACATCTAGCGGCTGTAATCGGTGTGTAGAATGGGGAGGAAAGACAGTGAGTAGAATTCGATTCTGATCTGCGTAATTGATGAATGCCATATTAACATGGGATGAGTGGCCATCCAATATAAGAAGTCTATATCTGCGGCCTGCCTTCTTTTTTGTAAGAGGTTCAAAGATCTTCTTTAACCATGTTAACCCATATTCATCATTGCTCCACCCATTTTCTGAAGCAGCGAAGTAGGCCTGATCCTTTTCACTATCAAAATCTTTGAGCCAAGTATCTTGCATATCTCTTGATTCCCCTTGATATATGAGAGCAGGTGGGAGCGAAGTTCCATCTGCGCAAATTGAGGCAAGTAGTGTTATGAATTCTCGACTGCCATCCTGGCTGGCACCTATCATATGGCCCGATTTGAGCAAATTAATCGATACAATACGTTTGAGGGTGTGAATGAATCCTAATAGGAATCCTTTCTCATCAAAGTTGTAGATATTCGCAGGTTCAAGGTTGTATTTCGTGATTTTTGCCTGCAGCTGAAAAATTAAGATAAATTAGCAAGATGAGAATTAAAAAAGCAGTATAAGAAAGAAATCTATTACAAGATCAAAATAATGCTTGAAGTATGCAGAATTGTCTGCAATCTTGCATTTTTGGTCAATATTTCGCAGGTAGAGCGACTTGATCACATCCTTGTGGCGCTCACAGAACCGAGCCACCAGTTGACTTCAATAGGTGCTTTTAGAATCTCAACAATGAGATTATGAAGGATTTGGGGCGTACAAGGGAAACCGCGATCTACCAATTGATTGATATGAAAAAGGAGCCGTTTTTCTTGCGAATCAGTGAGAGCTTTGCAGTGGATAGAGCTTGCTTCCTTTCTTAACATTTGAATGCCTCTATAACGCCTTGACAATGTATATCAGCTGATTCCATATTTTTTAGCGGTCTCAGTGTAATTAGGCGTTAATTGCGCGTTCAAATCATCAATAGCGGCTTGTATAACTGCTTCGTGGTGCATGTTGTGGGTGGTTAAAGATGAATGAAAAATGAAGATTTGAGCGGGCGTTGGGTGTAAACGGGCGTTGGGTGGTTGATTACGTTACACCTAATACTCCGGATACGTCAAAGAAGCGCTATCCTAACTAACAACTTGCTTGTCGAGTCTAAGATATATCACAAGTACGCTGCAAAGAACATGACAAATTTGTAGAGATTATTCAAAGGGAGATTTCGCACCAAAATAGAATATATATATATATATAATCAAAAATGACCCTTCGCTAAATATGTATATGTATATGTATAAACACAATGCCAGCCAGACCTGCAAATCCTCTTGAGAACTGTACAATACAAGGTTTAAACAGCAAGCATCTGCACGAAAGAGAAACGAGGAATAGCCGGACCAACAAATTTTCACCCCAACCCAGCCTTGGTGTTCTTAACCACATGAACAACAGGATGCAATATCCCCTTGTTGTTAGCGGCACCCAGAGCAGTTCCACTACTCCAACCCATCCTCTCCAGCATCGCTCGGCCTTTATTCTCCGCCCCGATTTCCGGTGCAGATGCGCCAACTATGTCCCCATCCATGTACGACGCAGCTCTTACACTAGCGCCACGAGATTGGGCCGCGGAATTCGGACCCCCAGAGCCTCGTTGGCGTCTATCCGTTCGTCGCAGAAACCGATCGCCAAAAAATAATCTCTCAACATGGCCAATTTCATTTGCTTCTACATCTGGCGTGTTGGCTGTTTTGGTAAGGATCGGAAAGCGAGACGCGCCACTACCTCGGGATATTGAATTCAGGGAAAGTGAGTGTGAGATCTCGTGGACGAACTTTCGGTTTCTCTTGTCCATCGGAGGCAGCGTAAGACTATTTTCGTCGTTAGTTTTAATGTTATTCTCTTCAAAACAAACACATCAGGAGGGGAAAATGGAAATGAAAACCGTCATACCTCCGATATGGCGATGCCAAGAAGTTCCGTATTTCGTCTTTGACATTATCCAGGGTCATGCCGTGAGGGTATTTTGCCTTCAAATCTACCTTCCCTGGCCCGGTACCCAACAAGCCCCTTGATCTTTGTTCTTCTCTCTCTTGCCTCTTCGTTTTCTTTTTATTCCGGTCATTCTCCCAAGTTAAGTGCAATTCCCTAGCCATGTCACTGTCAGACAAACCAAAATCTTGTTGATGGGCATGGCGGCGCCCCTTCAGTTTATTCTTTAGGCGTGTGCGGTCAAAGGCCATGACATCAATTCCAGGATCCTCTTCCAGGGCATCCGCAAGAGCAGAGGCAGAAGGGAAATGACCAGCTCGGTTCCGTCGCACCGTTAATTTGGATACAGACGTGTACGAGAACTGCGATCTTGTCACCTTTTCAAAGCCGTCGACGGCATCATTCTCGTCATAGAGTAGGAGGTCGTTTGTTCCCAAGCCAAAAGACCCTTGGGTTTGGAGTAGACGCGCCATCTGCTCATCTGTCAAGTCGAGTTGCTGTTCAGTGGTATGGGGTTCAAATTCTTCAACCTTGTCTTCTTCCTCTCCCATCCCATCCGATGAAGAAGAGTCAGAGTCCATTTCCTGACGAGATTCGATCGACGCGACCTTCTCCTCGAAACGCTTAATCGATTCAGCCGCACCAGGCATTGTCAAGAGTTCCTTTCCAATCCAACGCGCTTCATCTGTGCTCTCACCCACCCCGACAAGCAAATATTGGATACCCTGATTCCTCTCCCTCATGGAAAAGACGCACGAAACCTCGTCTGGCAGTTCATCGGAAGAGCTAAGGTCGTTTAAGTCTTCAAGATCTGCAGAACTCCATGATGCTTTGCGATCATGGTGTGTTTGGCTTTGAGCGTTGATCCCTCTCACACCAGCATCTTCTTCTTTGTCTTCACCCTCCTCATTGGAGTGGCCACCCGTCATATTTGCGATGTAGTCGGCCAAGACTTCGGATTCGTCAGAATTCCACTGTGAATTTGGCTTTCTCTGTTTACGGGCGTGGGAACGCTTTAGATTTCCTCCGAGGCTTATGAATTCAGGTTGGTACGCAGGGTTATTACACAACGCCGGATCAATGGTATGCATAATTATGGGGTCGGATTCGTTATCGGATGGAGTGGCTGGTTCCGAAACCACGGGTTCTTGACCACCCTTATCACGTTTCCCGGGCGAAGACTCGTGGCCTGTACAGTATTCCCGTTCGTCATTGGTATTTAAATTCTCGCTGCAGGGGGCCGGGAAGGGATGGAAGCTTTTGCCTCTCCCTGTGAAAACCACCTCGTCTTCGCTGGAGTCCAGCTGTGCATCTGCAGGGGTGTTGTGCGATGTGGCGGGGTCCTTAGGTTCCAGATGCTCCTGGGGATCCTCCCCCCCCCGATCAATGAAAAATATATCCGTGGAATCTGTATCAACGTCAAGCTGTACCCCAGATTCTTCTCCCTTTCCTCCCCTTTCTCGCTCTCCAAGGCTTTCTCCTCCTCCTCGTCCCCTTGCTGCTTCTTCATCTGGCCCGGTCATAGTTTCTTCAACGGTGCCATTCACATCGTTTTGGCCCAGAATGACAGGATCTGTTGAGGAAGGGACGGCATTGGGCTGGTCAGAAGCCGGATTGTTTTTTATCTGGTGGTTGAGGACGCTGAGGTCTCCAGGCAGCATATCACCAGCACTAACGAATTGTACTTCGTTATATCGTAGTTTGAGGTGGCTTCTGCGGGCTGTGTAACGTTCCGTGTTGCGAGCTTCCTGGGTCAGAGTGAGATGTCCCTCATCGCGCTCTTTTTGGTTGGGGCGGTAGTGGTTAAAACAGTTAGCCTATTTAGCTGCTGGATAAATAGCTTGGAACAGTGTATATATTATATTATGTGCGAGAAGAGGCAAACTAAAGCAAACTGCTTACCGACACCGGTGCGGCTGGTAGAAGACGAATGCCACTTCATGGAGCCCACAATGCAAGGTGACCTGGAGCCGGGTGTCCCTCCTCCGCCTTTCTCCACGTCCTTGGGGTTTTTGGGCCGTCGACCCATGGCGACTCATGCAGGCGGAGAACTGACAGTACGGTAAGCCAGAGAGAGGTGTAAGTAACTATGGGTGCAGCTGCCTGGTGTCCAGCATCAGTGTAGGTGGGTGTAGGCCTTTTTTTTTAAAAGTGTGGGGGATCGATCCACTGTTGGCTTCGGTGTCAGGGTCGGTGTCCGGGTCGGTATTGTGTTGTTGTTGTGTCTCTTCTCCTGATACCAAACTGGAGGATCTTGGGGATACTAACCTTCAGGCAAACGCTGCAAACATCCCGTGGTTGCTGGCTGCAATAGCTGAGTGGTTAACTACTGACTGTTATTATATAACGACGGACTGACGAGGTATTCTGAATATACGCTGTGAACAAGATGGTGTTTACTTCTGCATCTTCATTTCCTGATGTATTAAGATGCCATCGAACACCGCGGGATGGTAAATATCTAATATATATATTATTCAGTTGAATCTCTAAGTGTTTTTTTAATTGTCAGACGCTGCCAACTTCGACCTGGTTTTCTTCTTCTTCTTCTTCTTTTTCTGCTTATTTAACTGCTGAGTTAGTTAAACTATCAGTTGGTTGGTTCGGCCTCTCGGAGTTAGTTACGGGGGTCATACACACCACTCGATAAGCAATACATTGATAAAAAGCTTTGTTGTTGTTGTTGTTGTTCTGCTTATTTTGGCTGTTAAATAACCAAATTCCCCGCTGTGAAACTCGGGACTCTATGCGATCGTTGGTTGTTGGTCATAAATAGTATGTTCTCCATAGATATACATCCGTCATTGTTATGTTCTATCGCTGGTTATATATTTAATTGTATAGATCACAGATATCTGTAGATATATTTCCTCCATCCGGCATTCAGCTGCCTGCCCACCTATTTAACCCTCACCAACCCGACATCTCCCCCAACCACTTACGACCTAACGACCTCTAATGTCGCTTTGACGCCGCTACATCCATGGGGTATCTGCTCTCTACCTAGACCGACCATAGCAGTCATGAATAACGTTGATATCGGAAAATACAAGAGAATCGTGCAGTATTTCTGGGATCCGGAGCCGAAGAATGACGACGCCGCGGGCTCACCTATCTGGTGTTTAGGGCGTGAGTATCGACCGCTCACCCCTTCACCTCCACGACAGGCTGATGATAACCACACCAATAACGAAATCGACAACGGCAGTGGCAGTAATAACAACAACAACAACTACTACTACTACTACTACTACAACGGCAACAACAGCAACAAGAGCAACAACATCAACAACATCAACAACAGCAACAACAAGAGACCAGACGAAAGCGAAAACGAGCCATTCCATCACCACAGACTGTTAACGTCAGACAGCAGCAGCCTTAGCCCAACCAGACAGCTGCCCTTCACAAATAATACCCGTCCCGAATCGACATCAAGCAGCTCCTCAGGTCACGACTGGCCAGCGCCATTCCTAGATGATTTCGAATCTAAGATATGGCTTACCTACCGGTCTGGCTTCCCGTCCATCCCAAAGTCCAGCGATCCCAGTGCTGCGTCGGCTATGACGCTGGGTGTCCGCCTTAGGAGCCAGTTGGTGGATTCGCAGGGTTTCACTACGGATACGGGATGGGGTTGTATGATTCGATCCGGACAGAGTCTATTGGCGAGTGCACTGTCGATATTGTCTCTAGGTCGAGGTATGTTCCGAAGCCGCCACCGATGAAATCTTATATATATCTCTATGTGTGGATGGGATGCTGAATTACTCTACAGACTGGCGACGAGGCACCAAAACCGACCAAGAAAGTAACCTTCTTTCACTCTTTGCAGACGACCCCAAAGCCCCTTTCTCGATACACAGGTTCGTGGAGTATGGAGCTTCTGCCTGCGGGAAATACCCTGGAGAGTGGTTTGGGCCATCTGCCACAGCAAGATGTATCCAGTAAGCTAGCTGGCTTAATATTTCCCTCATACGTCCATCCATTTTCCCACAACAGACAGCTTTACTCACGGAACTTTACCCCAGAGCTCTATCGAGCGAATGCAAACACGCCGGATTAAATGTGTACGTCACAAGCGACGGCTCCGACGTCTACGAAGATCGATTCCGGACAATAGCTAGCAGCGGGGCCACAGAGGCCGGCATCCACCCCACCTTAATCCTGCTTGGGATCAGACTGGGCATCGACCGCGTTACCCCCGTATACTGGGAGGCGCTCAAGGATGTATTGAAGTATCCGCAGTCCGTAGGGATAGCCGGGTGAGCTTTTACCTACTCCCCTGACCTCCAGCTACTAACCGGAAGCTATTATATGCATTACCAGCGGTCGCCCCTCCTCCTCACACTACTTTATCGGAGCCCAAGGTTCCTACTTCTTCTACCTGGACCCACACCACACGCGTCCCGCACTTCCCTACCACGCACCCGGCCAGGTGTTTACCGAAGAGGAATTAAACTCGTATCACACGCGTCGACTACGACGGTTGCATATCAAAGATATGGATCCTAGCATGTTGATTGGGTTCCTTATCAAAGACGAGGATGACTGGGCGGATTGGAAACGGAATGTAGGGTCTGTGGCGGGGAAAGCGATTGTTCACGTTTTTGATAAGGAGAATTCGCCGTTTGGAGATGGGTCGGAGAGGGAAGGGGCTGTAGATGAAGTGGAGGTATTGGATGACGAGGAATATGATGAAACCGCTAATGTTGATATTGTGGGCGATGATGGGAGTACTCGTGATACTGATGTGGGTGACAGCTCTAGCTTTTTTCATATCTCGAAATGAAGATGTCGATGGGCTGTATTTTCGTAATCCTATATAACAATAAATGTAAAGTTGCTCGACCGTGGCACGTGTTTAATCTATGGCGGTGGTTTCCATGCAAATCACAGCCAGAAGCTCTGGATACGATGGACATTCACCGGACGAAGCCGGGAAATGAATTTTTACAAGAGACAGATTTGCACAATATAACAAAGCAGATGGATTTTGCTTCAGTAAAAAAAAGGCTATTGGGCATGCCGGATTGCCTCCATATTCCAGTATTGTACATTCATCAAATTGATCACGAATCCGCAACCGTAAACCATGTGGCATTGCAGGGGGGGGGAAAGAACAATAAAAATCAAAGCCATCCATCCCATGAAGCGTTAAAGAGAGGGGGGGGAAAAGAAAAGAAAAACCACAGAACACCCATAACCGCCTCACTGAGCCGCGAAAGGAAAAAAACACATTTGACCATGAGGAATTAATATAAAAAAAAGGCACAAGGAAACCATATAATAGAAAAAGAAAACCAGAAAGCACGAAAAGAGAGAAATGGATTTATTTGGCGGATGAAGAGTACTTGGTGACGGCCTTTGTGCCTTCGGAGACGGCGTGTTTTGCCAGTTCACCGGGGAGGATAAGTCTCACACTGTTGGAAGAGTAGAATTAGTAACGGTGAGGTAGAGTGGAATTGACGTCACACATCGTATTTTGATATGCGACAGGACGACTTACGAGGTCTGAATTTCTCTGGAAGAGATGGTGGATTTCTTGTTGTAGGCAGCGAGCTTGGAGGCTTCAGTGGCCACACGCTCGAAAATGTCGTTGACGAAAGAGTTGAGGATGGACATGGCACGGTTTGAGATACCAGTATCAGGGTGGACTTGCTTCAGAACTAGAAGAGGGGGAAAAACGCGTTAGTATTTTGGGCATCGCGTCATTGTACAAGGAATTTTAATTGTAAGACGTGTTATACCTTTGTAGATGTAGGAGGAGTAGGTTTCCTTTCTGGTCTTGGTGCGCTTCTTCTTATCACCACCAGCAGCAGCGGCAGTCTTCTTGCCAGCCTCTTTCTTCTCGGCGGGGGCTTTGCCTCCAACTGGAGCCTTGCCTGCGGTGCTGGGCTTCTTCTCGGCGGCTTTGGGAGGCATTTTTTATGGTGGTTGGGGTTGGCTGGATTTTTAGAGGAGGTAGAAAGTAGAGAATTGAAGCAATGGAAGAGTAGAGCGGTTGTAGTGGTAGTGGTAGTAGTAGTAGTAGTTGTTGTTGTTGTTGTAGTGGTGGTGGTGGTGATGAAGATGTGGGATATATGTTGGAGGAAGAGGAAGAAGAGGAGGAGACGGAGTCGCGGTGCAGTGGGCGAGGGCGAGCGTACTACTTATAGGCCCAGCGACACGGGCAGAAATCAGAAATGGATCAGAAATGGCGGGCGTGATCTGAGGTTTGGGCGAAGGAAGCAGAATTTCGATACGGTCACAGCTGCGTATGATCCGTATGATTAAGCTCGCGATTTGGTGGTTGTTGTACGGGACTGGGCACAATACGGGTGTGTACGGGACGGTAACAAGACAAGCGGCCAGAGTTGGCTGTTGTGATTGGCTGGCGAGGGAGTTGATCCACGGGCCAGCTCCCGTGACTCAGCAGCCGACTGCAGCCAGACGCCCCTATGACTAAGCAGGCCTGGGCGTGATCTTAGCCCGCAGCGACACGCTCCCAGCAACCGGTGCTTTTTCTTATAAACCAACGAGTCTCCCCTCCTCTGCCTCCTCTCCCTGCTCCTTTTTCTTTTTCGATTCTCTCTCCAACCCTTCCCACTCCTCCTGTCTCGCGTCAACATCTACGTCTACGGCGATATACTCTTGATCTCCTACTACCATTACCATCACGCTACCTCCTTTGCATTTCTCTCCCAACTTCCAACACCTCACCGAAAACCTCATTAAAAATGACTGGAGGCAAATCCGGCGGAAAGGCCAGCGGCAGCAAGACTTCCCAGTCGTATGTGTTTAATTCCTTTCCTTCCATTCTCTTGTTTTGTTTTCATATCCTTGATCATCGAATACCATCCAAATCTAACTTGTTTTACTAACTTGTCTCTTTTCTTCTTGTCTCCCTTAACAGTCGCTCTTCCAAGGCTGGTCTCGCGTTCCCGGTTGGTCGTGTCCACCGTCTCTTGCGCAAAGGCAATTACGCTCAGCGTGTCGGTGCTGGTTAGTCATCCACCCCCAGGTCTCCGTCCCTTTATTAAAGAGAAAATGGGTTGAGTCGTCTATTCAAAAAAAACTAATACTAACCTGTCATTGTCCAGGTGCTCCCGTTTATCTTGCTGCCGTTCTCGAATATCTGGCTGCGGAAATTCTCGAATTGGCTGGCAATGCCGCCCGTGACAACAAGAAGACCCGTATCATCCCCCGTCATCTCCAGCTTGCCATCCGCAACGATGAAGAATTGAACAAGCTGCTTGGCCACGTCACCATCGCCCAAGGTGGTGTCCTGCCAAACATCCACCAGAACCTCCTCCCCAAGAAGACCCCAAAGAGCGGAAAGAACACCTCCAGCCTCGAACTTTAAGCGTGTTTTTTTGGTTGTTGTTTGTTTATGTTTCCTTTCTTCCGCTTCACATCTTCCTTCTTTTTTCAATCTGTTACTTGCGCTTTTTCTTCTAGTGTCTCGTTCTTCGGCGCAGTCTGGGTTTTCTGATGTGATCATGGGATTCTGGTTGGGCAAGCTTATGGCTCTTGTTTTTTATGGTGTACATTACGTCTCGGATGGCAATCGGTGCAGGTGGCGATCGTGGGGTCTATCGCCCTCAAGCATATGACGTGCTGGTGATCTTGCGCTTAACAGCTCGATTCATCAATTTAAAGAACTTTATTTTTTTAATCCTCTGCGTCTCTTTATCCCCTCACCTCTTAGTATATAACTCCAGACAATTTTCTGCGATATATTTGTTGATATTTCACACGTAGTCGCGTTGTTTAACTTCTTGAAATAGCGTCCAAAAATCAGCCATCGAGGGTCCTTTTTGTTAAACGTCCGTTCCGCTGTCAATCTATACTCTTTCACCTGAACATCTGCTTGTCCTACGAACAGAGTGAATCAGCAACCTTTTCTTTATTTCCTATCCCTGACTAAAATAATTGAAATAATTGCGATTGAGGATTATAAATCGACTGTTATTCCTATCGCGAATCACAAATTGAACAACGAAGACACTGCGGGCGTTGGTTTCAGCAGACAAATACATACACGGACGCGACTTTGCCATGAGCCTCTCCCGATGATTCTTATCTTCTCGTGGCCAGCTATTTATAAATAGCGAAGAGTCATACGAAACATATACATATACACACAAAACACTTGTACTGAGACGGCCTTTTTTCTACCACAACACTTACAACTATATAGCAATGGAACGTAAACCCCAATAATCACCTGGAGCCCTGTTCATTCTCGAATCTGAGCACTTCCTGCTCGTCTTCTTTCTGCCTTTGCATTCTGGCCGCGTGGATCTTTGCGGTCTCCCGAGCTCTTTGTTCCTCTTCTTCCATTTCCTCGTGTTGTGCCTTTCCCACTAAATTACGGCAGCGAATTAGTCGGTCAGGCGCATGGAAAAGGGTTTAGATATATATATGGAGTATCAGAACAAGAATTCCAGCTTACATGGTAGATCGCGTACTTCGGTGTTTCTCTCGTATTTCGATCCTGCCCAGAAAACCCTCAGCCATTCACTAATTCTCCGATTGGGGACATCATATGAAGGAGGGTGGGTGGATGTTAGATAGGTGGGGTGATTTGACACCATCAAAACGTACCGCCTGGAGCAGTAGGGGCTCTATAGGGATCGGGATGTTTCCACTCCTCCAGGAGCTTCTCAGTCTCTTGAAATAGGACCTGAACAAATTTTATCAACATCAACATCAACCACAGTGCAGGGCGTGCAGAGCTCCCGCTGACATATATTGATATAAGTAACTCCATGAACTAGCGGTCAGGGTCAATTGGGTGCGAAAGGTAAGTTCATACTCTCTGTTGTCGAGGCTCCAGCACATATCTATTTGCTTCAAACAGTGAACGGATATAAACCGCCTGGCCACGCCATAGGTTGCGATGGACGGCCCAGTCGAGGGCAAGCTTCAGCGAGCGACGGTAGAGAGACCTGTTTAGAAAAGGGTGGGGAGAGGTATCCGCTATTAGCATATGTATACAATGAATACAATAGGAAAGGTTCTATAAAGGTTGGTAACAGCTTGGAAGCTCACAGTGCTGTTGGATTGGGCGTCATCGTGGGGAGAGAGAGTTGAAGATAACAAAAAGAGACTGGAAGCGGCCCAACTCCAAGAAAAAACACAGGGGGTTGTTGCAGGTAAATGTGCCTGCTGGCAATATTTCAGGCGGGGTAGAGTAAATATATCCTCTGTCTGCTGGCCAATTGACAGCTGGATGGGATGTAATCTCAATCCGTATTAAATTGCTGTTGTTTGCTAGCGGTGGTTGGCTGTGACGATGATACTTGATGATGCTGATGCTGCTGCTGCTGGATCCCCCGGCTGGAGAGATGTTCCTCGTTCCGGCCGTTTTCCGCTCGCCAACTTCTCCCCATATCTGACTGTTAAATAACGCTCTCGGCACGCAATACTGATATTTACCTCTTCTTCTTCTTTTTCTTCTTCTTCTTCTTTACTCAACATCTATCTCTCTTTGTGTCTGCCTCTCCGTCTACACAGCAGTAGACCGATTATTACCTGATTCGACCCCGTCGTTTCTTTTCTCTTATTGTTCAGCCAGCTTTCTCAATTGGCTTCCGTCCTGCCAGCTCGCCATGGCTCCACGGCTACAAATCTCGCAACAAATGTCGAGGAATTTGCAACTCATCCCCAGACATGTCTGCGCCGGCTCGAGTCGATCCCAAATCTCCTGCAGGGCTGTGTCGTCCATTAGCCATTTGTCGCAATCCAAGGGCAGTCTGGGACCTTCCCAGACCACCCCCTTGAGTTCTCCAGCTCCTCTGAGGTATTAACCCTTATTCCAGCTGAGGATCTAGTTTCTTGGTTTAATTAGTTGTCGCGTAGACACGTAATTTCCCTATCGAAAACGTTGTTTATCGACAGTCAGAGACGGACCTATGGTTGGTAGACCCGCCATACTACTACTTCCTTAACCTTTTTATTATATTTTTTTTTGGCAATGTTCTAAAAAAGTTGGCAGCGGATTCAATTGTCAAAGTGCCGCAGATGGCAGAATCGATATCAGAAGGTACATTAAAACAGTTCTCGAAAAGTGAGTTGATTCCTCTTCTCTAATATTACACTTCCTGAATTCCGTTTTCTCTCCGTGTTGCATGAAATGTCGCTGAACGAATCCTAGAGGTCGGAGATTACGTTGAACGGGACGAGGAACTTGCAACTATCGAAACAGACAAGGTTATTAGGCACAATTTCAACTGTATGATATCTTAAAACCGTCCATCTCTCACGCCCATCTTATTTTCTATAGATCGACGTCACCGTCAATGCACCAGATGCTGGCACGATTAAGGAGCTTCTTGCAAATGAAGAGGATACTGTTACAGTTGGCCAGGACCTCATCAAGCTGGAGACTGGGGGCGCTGCTCCGGAGAAAACAAAAGAAGAAAAGCAGCCCGCGGAACAAGAGGAAAAGACTGAAGCTTCTCGTCACCCTCCTCCGTCACATCCAAAGCAGGTTCCTTCTCCCCCTCCAAAACCAGAACAAGCCACTCAAAATCCCGCCCGGCCAAAGCACAACCCGTCCAAACCTGAACCCGCCCAAACATCGCAGCCGGCCCCCGGAAACAGAGAAGAACGCAGGGTACTCCTCAGACCCGTTATCCTATATTTAGAGTAATCTCGTTAACCAGGTATCCAGGTAAAAATGAACCGTATGCGCCTGCGAATTGCTGAGCGTCTGAAGCAGTCTCAGAATACTGCAGCATCGCTTACCACATTCAACGAGGTTGACATGTCGTCTCTCATGGAATTCCGTAAACTCTACAAGGAGGATGTCTTGAAGAAGACCGGCGTAAAGTTGGGCTTTATGAGCGCTTTCTCTCGTGCATGTGTTTTGGCTATGAGAGATGTCCCTACTGTCAATGCCTCGATTGAGGGGCCGAACGGCGGTGATACGATCGTCTATAGAGACTATGTCGATATCAGCGTTGCAGTGGCGACGGAGAAAGGATTGGTGACTCCAGTGGTGCGAAACGCTGAGTCCCTGGAACTTATTGGAATTGAGAAGGCAATTGCAGAATTGGGTAAAAAGGTATGTAAAGAGTTCTGTCCTGTTCGACCTAGACCAGTGAAAATTCTAATCAGTGTTGTGACAGGCGCGTGATAATAAATTGACCATTGAAGACATGGCCGGCGGCACATTCACTATTAGCAATGTAAGTAACTTCTCCTACTGTCCGTACAGTTTTCTGATACTCTTCTTAGGGTGGCGTTTTCGGGTCCCTCATGGGCACACCCATCATCAACCTTCCTCAAACAGGTAAGAAAACTCATTTTTATGCAAACCTTTACTATCCGCATCATTCTCACGAACAGTGTGTAGCTGTGCTCGGTCTTCATGCTATCAAGGATAAGCCGGTCGTTGTCGATGGAAAAATCGAGATTAGACCTGTGAGTTCCCGGACAGTATTATCCTTCCTTTCTATGTAGAAGGCTAACATCTTCGCAGATGATGTATCTTGCTTTGACCTATGACCATCGTCTACTAGATGGTCGAGAAGCTGTGACTTTCCTTGTTAAGGCCCGTATCACTTTCCCCCCTACCGATCCTTGCGGCATGCTAACCTGTCTTATAGATTAAGGAATATATCGAAGATCCAAGACGTATGCTGCTGGCGTAGAGAACACTAGGTCACAAATAGGTTTCTCCTGATTCCCCGACCACCCCCCCAAGCCTTCCAGTATGTATACTAGGGTTCTCTCTTGCCTTTTAGCACCACGTTGAGGAGATGGCAGTAGGTAGATCAGACCAACCGTTCTTTTTGCGAGATTGTTACGGCAGGGAAGTAAATCTCATTGTATCATTGTTTTTTTATTTGCCATAGTTTGTATAGAATATTATTTGTTATTGATCGCCTAGGACCGACTGCTAGAGTGAGGCATAGGTCGATTCTCATTTTCCTTTCGACCATCTTGTTGTGATGGTATCTCGTCTGTGGGTAATTCTGGATCTCTTGTCATTCATACTTCCATGGCACCTCTTGAGCCCCCAGGCGTTTAAAATGTAGCTCTCCTACCAGGATATTGAGAAGGACCAATCCAACCAAGCGTCGGCCATATTCCAACGGGGAGAGCAATATCCACATGACAGATGGTTGGCAACATCCCCAGGAGAGACAGAAGGTAGAGACGACAGCGGCATTGCGATCCAGCTCGGATTAAAGTGAAATTAATATCATGACACAGCACTGTCAACAGCCTTGATGGGGATGCCTGGCGATGGTTGCCTCAAGCCCGTAGAACACCGGGTAGTTGTACGGCGGTAGGGATATAAAACGAAGCAGCAGCACACCAGAGACCATGGGAGCCATTTAAACTTAGAGAAATCAACTTGGAAGTTTTTTATCTGGCGGCCAATCTATTGGCCGCCTCTTTATCATGCTCAAAGACAAGTTCAGCGTTGCCTTCACGGACCTCTGCAACCTTTGAACCATTTGATAACTTCCAAGCAAAGCACGAAGGTCAACCGCTAATGAATTAACTGATTGATTGATTAACTTCTCAGATTGATATTTGCATTTTGTAAAAATTCTCAGCAGTTGATCTATCTACTAATTAGTCTACTTAGACATATTAAATAAGACTTACATACAGAGCTTAGTTGCTACATATATTAAAAGTTTTACATAAAATCAATATGTATATTTATTTGAAAGTCAGTATTTCCAGATAAAGTTATATATATATACTTAATAATATTTCTCTAAAAGCTATAGTTGCAGTAGATTTCTTTAAAATCTTCAGATATTCAATTCAGCTATATTTAATACATTATTTCTTTATATTTTTTCTTTAAAATAACTCTATCTTAAGAATGTCTTATATAAGTAGAATACTATATATAAATTTTAAAAAATTAACATGATAATTATTATAGATAATATATAAAGCTATTCAAGAATATGAGTTTCATAAAGATAATATTTCAAACTTTGAGACTGATATTACAATAAGTTTTTATACAGTCTTCTTTAAAGTTATTACTGCAGCCAAATGCAATAAAAGATCATATATAGTTAGTTAAGAGAAATCATAAATGAGTTATGATTATTGAATATATAAAGTCAAAAAGATATTTTATTTCATTAGTAATTAATTTTTTTTAAAAAAAAACAAATATCTTAGTATAAAAAAATCAGTAGTTAAGAAGGGTGATGGCGCCGTCTCAATAATAGTATGAAGCATAGAGGCGGAGCTCCAGTAGTAAGAAGAGTTAAAGCAGAAAGAGTCTAAGTATCAAAGAGATTAGAGTATAGCTCTTTATAATCAGTCTTCTTTTAAAATGAAAAAATGCTAAAAGTGCTGCTAGTGGCTGAATCATTGATATAATAGATCTACACCTACTTCAAAGAATATTTGAATTGTATTTTAAACACTATTCAGAAAGTATGAAGCAGCTGCTAAATTTTTAATAATTATAACTGTCATACAATTATATATCTTTGCATGTCTGCTCATATATCTTATTTTCTTCAATCGCTACATGTTGAAGTTTTTGAGTCATTAAAATACACATATGAAGAGCTGATTGAAGATATAAGAATTACAGAAAATAATTATATTAATAAAAATAATCTTTTATTTCTTTATTTATCTGAATGTGAAAAGAAGTTCTTTACTAAAAGAAATAATGTTATTAAATCTAAGCTTAATCATTAAATATAGAAACAGAGTTCTGTCAAAATATAATTTTTAACTGTATATATCATCAACATCACTGTTATTTTCTTTAGCTAATGCTGAGGACTTAATATCTTTAGTATTTTCAAACATCTCAAATTATTTTTTGTCTGCTTGATCATAATAAGATTTATAACTTGCAGAGAATTCTTAATAGAAAGAAATATTTTGTAGCTTAGTATCTTATCTTCATTATCTTGAGAAAACTGCACAAGTGACTATGAATATAAAACAAATTCTACAAGTGAAGAATAAATAATAGATTACATAAAGATACAAAGATATGCTAATCTAGATCAAAATATCATTCTATCTATATAGAAAGATCATACATATATATTTAACAATTTGATATAGAGATTGAAGCTCAGATTGAAGCTATATCTCATTAATAAGCTTTATTTAACTGCAGTAGCTATAAGACTATTGAACATAATATATATAAGCTAGCCGGTCTATATTTTGACCAGACTCTTTTTTGACCACTTTATTCAAAGTAACTATCCTAAAGCTATTTGGGTAAATATTTAACTACAAATTCAATCTAATTGTCATTCAAACATGCAGACTTTCAGACCTGCTGCTAAAGCTGCTACTGCTGCTTTTTTAGCCTCAATTTCTGACTTCTGTAGTTGTTTCCTAGTCTCTAGAGCAGCAGCTTTCTTTTGAGCCTTCTTAATCCTTCCCATATTAATAAACTGAGTATTTGAATTAACTTTCATCTTCTTTTTGATTTTTGACTGCTGTAGAGTCTCTAGTTGATTAGAGAGTTTAAAAACTGTAGACTATCTGATAGCTTGTAGAGCATTCAACTCATCAATCATCTTGCTAGCTTTGCAAAGAAAAACTCACTGCTTTTTTGTAAGAATTCTCTTCTTATTCAACTGCTTCAGAGTCTTATATATATGTCTAGAATCTCAAAGAGTTGTAAGCAAGAGATCAAGCAGTTCAGAAGATAAGGAGGTTGTAGATGTCACCAGCCTAGAGTTAGATTGACCCTGATCTTGAACCTGAGAGGAATCTAATTCCTTGGAAGAATTAAATAACACTAGACCATCTGCTTTCCACCCTCCACATATATTATAAGATTTTAAGGCCCTTGAATATGCTTGTTCATAGACTTATATAAATCTTCTTTTCTTCACAGGAGCTGCATTATTCAGATAGCTTAAAACAATGATCTCAGCTCTATAGTAGCTCTTCATGAGTGAAAACACCTCAGGATCCAATGGCTGAAGAACATGAGATGTATGAGCAGGTGGAAACACTAAATGAATCAAATTTATATGACATTCTCATAGAAATTCAATAGTGACATGACTGCTATGATCATCTAGCACTAATAATCTATGGTAACCTTCCTTAAATATTTGAGGTAGAAAAATTATATGTACCCAATTGAGACATATTATTTGATGTCCATCTATTATCTGACGTTGTATAAGTTCAGTTGGGTATATTCACATCTTCAAACCATCTAGATTATGCATTTTGACCTTAAAAAATGACTAGAGGATCTATATAGCGCTCATCAGCACAAATAGCTTCAAGAATTGAAACTCACTTGCAATTAGAGGGAGATTTAACATAGGTTTTGTCTTTTCTTTGCTCAGCAAGCACTCTGATATTTGTACATACTTCTAAAGCAATGCCATGCTCATTCATGTTCTATATATTTTCAGTAACTATTCTATAAGTCTGTTGTGTCTCAGAAAAGTAGTTATAGAACTGCTGAAGTTTTTCCTGCTAAGTATTCTCTATTCTTTGAGACTCAATCCTTCAGTCAATCACAGATCTTATTATAGAATTTTGTTTTAGAAACTTTCTTATCCAATACTTACCCAGCTAAGTGGGATCTCAATTCATTCATAGAATTTGAGTTGCCATTTATCATACACACAACACACATGAGAAGGTGGAAATCCTTGTGAATGTTGCTCTTTTATCTATCAAACTAGAAAGATCTCTTGCTCTGAAGTCAACTTTTGTTGATGTTGATGAGCAATTGTTTGTTGAATAAAATCATTCTTTCTGCTCTTCAATATGCTTTGTGAGATATTATATAATTTAGCAGCAGCTTGTTCAGATTGAAAAACATCATTTTTTAAATTCTCTATAGTAGCAGCTATAGCAGCTTCATTATTAGACTTCATTTTAATAATGTGGTTGAGAAAACGCGTGGTAAAGATGATGAGTTAGGTTTGAATAGAGTGGTTGAAAAAAAATCTGATTGAAATATAGACCATTTAGCTTAGTTACTTTAATAAATGATTATATATTAAACTATTAGATAGTCTTAATGTATTATTAATATATTATTGATATTTAAATGTGTTGATTGTTATTCATATAACACTTAACAATTTTCAAAGAGAATTCACTGTTTGATGATATTTACAGTTCAATGATGAAATATATTATTAATAACAAAAGATACAAATAATTCATATTATTATTAAGTTTGAAACTATTTATAATTATTCCTTGAGAATTATAAAAATAAATGTAAATTATTAAATTTAAATAAAATATCCATCTCATATTTATCTGATATATTATTAAAAGGGAAACTAATTATAAATAAGTTTATTGAAATGAGTAATTTGAAAATTGAAAAACATCTTATCTTCTCAGCTTTATATCATATGTATAATGATCAAAGATTAATTATTTAAGTATAAATAAAAAAGTTATAAATGACAATAAGCTTTATTAGAAACTGAGCTCATTAATAGATATTTCTATTGATAAGCTCTCTGATAAAAAGAAGAGAGAAAGTATATATATACAAAATATCAAACAAAAAACTTTTTGATAATATATTTAAATAGGTTATAAAATAAATTAAATAAGAAGAATATCTAGAAGTAGATCTATCTAACTTTGATATATTTTAAAATAAACTCTAAATATAAATTATATTCTTAATGATAATAACATT